CAAGAACCAACACTTAATAGTTGTTTAGTATGCGTGTTAATTATTTCTGTCTCACTCACTCTTTCCTAGACATTGTGCTGTGTAACGAGAAGTAGCGAACTTGATGGCTTAACCGACGCTATTATTCTGAACTACCATCATCTACAAGTATACATTGAAACTTATATTAATAGAACAAAAAAGAAAAGCTCAGTTGTACTAAAACAAAACAAAACACAATCCACTTATACCAATAACTTAAAAAAAAACTTAATACACATATCAGTTCTAGTAAAATCGCAATAATATCAGGTTTATATTTAGTATTAAAATAGACATATAAATACGCACACAATCGATTAATAAAAAAACACATAAAAATAGTTTTAATAAAATTTGTTACAAGTTTATTACGCACACATAAGTGAAGTATTAGTTTCATCTTATAAATAAAGGTATCAAAGCAAAATTTAGGCTTGAATTTTCATTTTTTTAGATTAGCAATACATACATAGCGTTATGTTTAATATGTTTGTTCATTATAAAGATAATACCATGACCGATTTATGAACGCAACCGGTGTAATATCAGTTCATAAAAGCACATGTTTTTGTTCAATACACAAAGGAAAGTGGCCCGTTTATTATGGTATGAGACGCTGTAGCGAGTAAACAGCCTCAATATGGAGTATGCGGAAAAAAAAAACATTCATAGATATCTTTGACACTGACAATGAAGTTTGACATATCTTAAGTGGTTGCATACCCTAAACTAAATGATTATTTTTTTCTGTACTCTTCTTAATTCTCTTTGGCGAGTTGTTAATGTCAAAATATTTCTTTCGTGCCTTTCCGTTAAACATTTTTTTAGGCTAATATACATTTCTTAAAATGGTAGCAAGCAGAGCGTTATACATGAATAAATTTAAATATGAAATACAAAAAAAAAATGCCGAGTCTTATAAAAATGTCTCAATTTTAATCGGGCATATATAAAGTATGATTGATTGTTTATTCTGGCTTTCAAAGTTATAAGTTTCAATTTGTATGCTATATGACTCTATATATCAATCTGCAAAATTAATTCGCATTGGCTGTTTTGCTTAATGACATTGAATTGAGGGGAAGAAGTGACAAAAAAATAAGACTACCCACTTTGTTCTATATAAGATTACATAAAATAAACATAAGTCAATAAGAATGGAACGCACCGGCCGCAAGAAGCGACTGCAAGGAAATTTATTATTTTTTTTTGTATACAAACATATGAATCATCGCGCACACGTACGCTCCGAACCGTCAAAACGCATTCGTCATTAATTTGCGTGGTGTAAAGAAAATTCATTTTATCTGCCTCCTTCGGCTCTGGCGGACGTGCGAACATCATTAAGGAACTAATCTACATTACAAACTAGATTATATATAAATAAAACACGCAAAAAATATTTCAAAGCATTTTTCTTTAAAGATATTTATCAATATAACAATATTGATAAAATATAAAAGATTTTTTTATTTTTAAATTCGCTAGATTTTTACTAAACACATATCAGGTATCTGCAAAAGGTACTCCTCGATACTCCATTTGATTCTGTTCCTTAATTTGTTTTATCGTTTAAGTTCAAATTTGGTTGTTTATTGTTGACTATACAATTTATCATCGGCGTCAATTCTGTAGTACACATCTCTATAAACTAAAGTGAATATCTTATTTAAATATAAGTTTGTGTAGACGTTATTCCTTAGTTGGTATACTATAATAATATAAATTTACTTAAGTTATCTTAGTTGTTTATTCGAGTCAAGATTGTGCAACAGAATCCCATACTAATGTCACAAAAATATAAGCAATATGACAAAAAAAAAAACATATTGAAAAGTTTCCAGTGTATTTCAAAGATATCTAACACTAGTATCTATAGTCGAGAGAAGTAATTACTTAAAGTCTTGTTTAATCGGTTAAAATATCTGTTTAATATATAACATATTTTCAAGTAATTAATTCTTCCGTCTGTAGTGTGCATGTGTAAGAATCTTGTAGTCTAGAGCGTCTATTTGCAAAGGTAAAAAATACAGAGATAAATTTCAAATTGGTCTAAGGTGGGTCTGGATGGGATCTGCGCCACCACAGCTATATATTAATTATAATATGTATACATTTTTAAAGGACCTTTTTATAATCCGTTTGTAAAAAAAAGTATTATTCATTTACAAGACATCGACAGCCATATTCCAGCAATAATATGTTACAAAGTAAGCAAGTTTACGTATATATATATTTAAGAATAATAGTAATTAAATAAAATAACTTTTGAACGGATTCAGGCGGCAATTTTAATAAATTTTTAGACGTCTCTGGCCCTTTGCTGGCTCCGCGATGACTACACTGAAATGTGGGTGGTCTTAACATTATTTAAAATTTAACTACCGTCTAAAATCTTTCAAAAAAGTAATTTAGTTTCAGTTACCAACAAAGGATATTATTACACTTCTCATTACAAAAAAGTTTACACACAAGCGTGAGATAATAGAACCTCTTCCATAATTTTACCCGCCCGAAATAAAATAAAAAAAAAAAAACTACATTATCGCCAATGATGTTATCGTATATACTCTAGAAAAATAATTATCAGATATGTCTAAAGATAAAATTAAATAACCAAAGCAAATACACCAAATAAGTGTTTTAAAATTACTTTAAGAAATTCTCAGTGAATTTAACATAAGGAAAGAGTCCCGCTGCAGAGCTATCCAAGACAATCATCTTAAGTGAGTCCCAACGTTATGGTTCTAACTCCTCAGTGTTGTGTAACTATATTGACAATCGATATCCTAAAATTATTTGTTAGATTTTTGCACTAGTTTTTATTTTGGCGCCCTATAAAAGACGGCAAGTAGAACGCAATGTTTTCGGCACACCCGCGTTTTTGGTGTTTACTATCTGAAATGTGTAAAAGGTAAAAGACTTCGGATAAATAAGGAAATACTGATCAGATTTTAAAATAATAATTCACCTAAGGGAAGCTACATTAAGCGTTTTGAATTCGCTGCCAACCAGTTTAAAATAAACGCGTTTAATCCGATCAAAAAATTGTTTTATTAATAAAGAAATTGTGAGTTAATTACTTATAACATGTGATGTATATACAGTACGTCTGTTAACAATTAAATATTGCAGAAAAAAACATATTTAACATGCATCAAAAAATCATTGGCAGTCTTTTTAGATTAGACAAATTAGTTATGTACAGTCAAAGTCAAAGATGTAGACATAAGTTGTTTTGTAAATGTACTCATATAAAGACCCATAAAAGTGTATTCTTATAAATGCAAATAAATATGTGCACAGTGTTAGAAACATAAATTATGTGTTCGCTTTAGGATACATTAATTTGTATATGAGTCTCTGTTTATGTCAATCGCATAAACGAGGCCTATCTATCAATGATGTTTATGTCTTTAATTTGCCGTCATAGGTCATGCATCATAGTAATGAAAGAAATCAAGTTTTATTTCACAGAGCGCGGTAAAATCGAATAAAATTAAACCAACCCATCCAGCTTTCCGTGTTGGACCCACGTGTAGAATTGGTGGCGCTAAGCTCGGATATTCTTAATGGATGAAACCAAACCACACAGCATTTTTGACTGGGCCCGCGTGTAGTTCCTAATACGGATCGGTAAAGCAAAACTAGTAACTGAGTGAAACCAATCCACCTAACATTCCTCACTGGTACAGGTGTACCACAAATCTTGTGGTGCTAAAGTACAGGTATAATTATGTGATTGCTTCCAAGTTATTGAGGCACCGATGGATATATATTATTGCTCTTATCTGTTTACCAAGTAATTATCGAATTATTGTATGCTTATTTTTGTAGTTTTGCACATTTCCATATCTATGATAATTTGGGTGTGTACTTGTGATGTATATATATCTTTGACTTTGACTGTACGTGCATACACAAATATTAAAGCAAAAAAAAAAGCTTAACAAAAACGAAGTTAATATAAATTTACAGATAAGTACGTGCAAAATTTAAAATACAAGTGCTTTCTCGCTCTCTTGCGGTATTAGAAAAGGACAAAAACGTCAAATAAACTGGGCACTTTCAGATTCATACAAGATTTAGTCGAAATCTTTCTTATATCAGCTTATAATAAATCGTCACTTCCGTGGACTATAAAAAAGATTGTCTGTCCTTGTTTAATCGAATAGGATAGAATGAGACATTCTCTATGTCATTGAACCCATCCGTTTTCAATATTATCAAATGAACAAATAACAATAACAAAGTAACAAAATGGAAATTAACAAAATTGAACACATTCAAACAATCTGTGGGCAAGATGGACACAATTTCACTTTGTTCAAATCTAAACAGGCGCCGTGAAATATATGTCCACATCTAAACACCCACAACCCGCCATCTTGTATTAAAACTTCATTTTGTAATGGCAGCCCACACAAAGTACAATCACTGTCATATTTGTAAATCAACGTTAGATTTTCTATAATCTCTTTGAACGACACATCTTTTATAGTATGTGATATCGTGTTTTGACTGTCGTTTTCGTCGATAGTACTTGCGCTTTTGACGACTTCTAATATTGGGGACAATCCCCAATGTGTAGTTTTCGCTGCGACGACAATGGGCAAAGTAGTATTCTTTAGATTGCCAGATGTACTCCGCAATAGTTGGCAGATCTGAAATATAACGAATATGATTTAACTATGATTAATGAATTCGATGATATAGGATGGGTGACCAAAAAATAATTATCTCGAACTCCTCCGTGCTTCGGAAGGCCGTTGGTCCCGGCTGAATCTGCGGTCGTTATCACTATCCAATCCGTACCGGGCCCTCGTGGTGGTGAATGCAGAATCTAGTTGCTATGATACAAAGACACGATAAACGAGTTTTCCCTGTTGAGACACTATTAGTAAGTCATAAACAGTAATTAATCCACGCTAGGCCCAGGTTATGGCATATACTTAAAACAACATTTTTATCTACTGTGGAGAAACTCAGCTTACAACATAAAATACAAATGTTTATGTGAATAAAAAAGACGTCATACCTCACGCCTAGAATCTTCGAACTCGTACGCTCCATACAACGCGTCCGTCAATTGACACGTTATTGTCAAATCGCATTTCTCGTACATCGCAACCAGTAACGCCGTATGGTAGAACTTCATAGTTAACTCCCCTACGTCTATCAGCCTCGCGTGTTTCTCTAGTATCTTCACGGCGTTTTTTCCGCCCACAGATTTCACAATTAAAGCTCCCAGATCATCCCAACTGAGCATATCCCTAACAGAAACATGATCAAACTTCCTATCACAGTTCAAACACATATTTGCATGCAAATTCGCGTACAGCCTTATAGCTCCATCCCAACTTTCCATAGTAAACTGAGGCAAGAACGAATGCAGAAGATTCTCATCCAACATCTGTAGCAGTACCCTTAACACGTTATGCAAATCCTCGTTCCTTCGCAAATACAATATCTTCTTCCAAAGGTAAGGCATCCTCTTACATATATCATAGCATTGCTCTCTCAATTCGCTCGACCACTGTCTCTCTATGAATTCATCTATCAATTCCGAGAACGCTGGATTTTGATAATTTCGCGTGTAAGGTAAAGGGTAACCACATTCGCAACCTAAATTCGCGAGTTTATGGCTTTTAACGTTCACAGATATACAGGAGTCGACAAAATATTTGTACAAGTCTTCATCGCGCACTATACGATCTAAGAGTTCGTTCTTACTACTGCAACAGCTTAAATAAGTTAGAAATATATTATTAGGAGCATGCTTTGATTCTTCTATAGCTCCCACCGATAAACAATATTGCTCTAATTGTAACATAAGTTCGTAGATCTTTCTGATATCACAGGCGTTGCTTTCTATAATGGAAACTAAATTCGATCGTTCTGATTCCTTACCGACTAAACTTAATCTAAAGTATTGATACAGGAATTTACACACTTTGTCTTTATCTAAACTATTATTGTCTATTTCTATGGCCTTCTGACTAGATTCTTTGTACACTATATCGTTATCAAATGTCTCTGGTTTATATTCAACATTATCAGGTGGTATTATTCTTTTAGGAAGAGCCGTTTCCTGAATTTGTGGCTTTTCCACTGCTAGATTCTTCATTTTTCCTTCGAAATCTTCCCATTTCTCTTTAATGATCTTCTTACTTGTACTTAATTTATCAGATACTGACACACTGAGATCTTTAAATGCTTGTATTGCTTCAGGAGATAATGTAGTGAACATACTATCATCGTTCAGTTTTTGATCTTGAGTATTACATTCCTCTTCCAACAAACAAGATGTATGATAAGTATTATCCACGACAAATATTCCAGATTTCATTTGGGTAGCATCGTTTGATTTCAAACTATCAAACTTATTTAGCACATCTTCTATATTATCCAATAAAACCTTATTTTGTAATTTATCTCTTAAACCAGCTAAAATATGCATTTTACTAGACAAGCATTTGGAAAGTAAGAGGTCTCGGAACAAGGCACACATTTCAGCACAAAGTCTAAACTTTGCGTCAACATAACATTTAATGAGAAATTTTTCCATCTTCATATATTTCAAATTAACGATGCTACCATTCTTTAACCAAACATATATTAAATCATGATATATTTTACAATCCACAATATCTTTGAAGGAGTACCATGTAGTATCATCGACGTTATCATGATTCAGAAAATAAAGAGCTTCTTTTTTAAACGAAAATATTGTACCATTTAAATTGTATATTCTTGGAAAGTTTATAGATTGACCGTCACCGTTAACCGTCGGAGTTTCCAAGCAAATATTTTCATTGTCATAAGATTCTGCAGATAGTATCGTCATAGAACTCTTTGCTAGAGCATGTTTGAATTGGTGAGTCCGTTTTACCGTACCATCAATAGCAGCTTCCCATAGTCTAGATGACGGCCGAGCGCAATATATGTCTGTGTTTGCTAATTTCTTATTGACAGCAAAGCCTTTATCGTTATCGACAATATTATATTTTTTTATCTCTGTGATGTCATGATTTGTATGTGTACAATTGTCTAGAGATTTCTCCGTGTTAAAGAAACAGGCACCGTATTCACCGTCCCGAAGTTTCTGACCTATCTGCCTGTATTGTTCCTGTGCAGTGTCACATATATAACATCTGGTTAGTGTGGACACAAGTAACATTGTATCTTTCACGTCGATTTGGCAAATGCGAGAATCTAAACTCATTATAGCTTGTGATGAACTCTGGAACATTGTTTTCGCCTGTAAATTATAAAATCAACTGTTTGATAGCTGGCATAGTTTAACACATTTCATTATTAGCTTACCAAACAAATGTATATACATGAAAAATCGAGTAACAAGTTAAACAAATTTCGCAATTGCCTGATGTTGAACGAAAGCTTTCCCTTCAAGAAGAAAACTATGCATTTGGCTAATTTACTGACAGAACTCTACAATCAGACTGATTAGTCATAAAACTAGGACTTTCTACCATGTAAAACGTAAAAAGCTCAAGTTGTAGAGAATAATCAGTTTAGATTATGTACTTTTATCAATTTAGAAACTGGCCGTATGTCGTAACTGTAATATTTATAATAGTTTATGATATTTTTATCGCTTTTTATATATTTTATTAAAATAAGTTGTTTACACACAGGTTTTTATTTATGTTTTACATGGCAAGATCCTAGTTTTATGAAACTGCTATCAACTGATCATCAGAGGTCGGAGTTAGGTAGAGTTATTTATGTACTTGCATCGAAATGTTGATATTAATGTGGACCTTCTCGGGATTTCTTTATTTCTTTCTTTCATTGATGTAAGTTTGGCAACGTCGTGCATGCAGTATTTTAAATTGTGTAAAAGTAAATAACTTTTTATTTAAAAAATCACGGGATTTTTTCTGCTCTTTAAAATTAATCTCGGGATATGAGGCATATCCACTTTATTCTTTCGCTGTATGAAATCAGTGTAAGTACATGAATAACTCTACCTAATTCCGACCACTGCTGATCATAAAAAATATATAATCACAATCGAAAGCCTGTTTAAATGACGTTTGAGACGAACTTAATTGCTAATAATTAACACTGCATATACACGCGCGCCATAGCAAACAACAAATTCATGGTCGAACAAGCTAACAACTAAATAAATAAATATTAATTAATAATAATAATCTCTTTTGAAGGGCACATGAAGCAGTTGGTCCTGATTGCAACAACAGTCTCATCGGTCCGTGCCGAGCCAAGGAAAGCATAGGCTGATGATTACAAAAACTAAAAGCTGACACAAATATTAACTTGTTTGATGAGTGTATATAAATTAATTTTTCAAACATTACACACTAACGTATTGAAATTTAAAATTATGTGAAGATGAAATGAAATTACAACATTATTGTTTTTTTTTCTAAGAATGGTAGATTCATGAGTTATTTATTGAATGAGTAACAAAGAGCTGGCAGCTGTGGAATATATTTATTCTCATTCGCATAGTTTTTGGATATTCGCAGATTCGCAGTTGCATTTTGTTTGTGCAAATTTTGCGTCTAAACATTTAACAAATAATAATAATATGGAGATTATTTTCTACGAAATACGTTTTGTAATTATTTTTAAAATTAAGGGTCGTAATAAATGTCCTTGGCAAGCCTATTTAGTAACCTTTAAATGAAGTTACTTTTATGAAATAAGTTGAAATTGCGTTTTTCTTTTGGATTTAGTGGTTTTGTGATAAAATGGACACTACAACTACAGAACCCTTATATGTAGTTGCTTGAGGCTCGTCAAGGACCACGTGAAATCGCTCGCAAACTGAATCTAAGCCGTTCATCAGTACAACACGTACACCTAAAGACTTTTAAATTTTGCTCGGCTCACTGAAGTCGACACATAATAAAAACAACACTATTTAATTGCAGCAACTGCTACCCGCGTCCATAGAGTTGTAATCAGTAGACGGACGGTTATACAAAAATAAAAAGAACGAAACCAAAGACGATCTCGATAAAATAATAAGACGAGCTTAGAGATTCGATTAGGATTTCCCGCCGTTTCATCTATTGCTAAGCTAAAAGCCAGAATACCCGAAGAAAGGATATCATACGACAAGTCGCAAAGCTCGATCGATGATGAGTAACAGAATACATACATACACGATGACAAGAGGGTGCACTGGCTTTTAAAAGAAATTTCATTATTTTAAAACTGGTATTGATCAAAATTGGATTAATCAAAACATTTTTCGCATCGCACGAGTTAGATCGCAGATAGTTTTGAGTTCTTACCCAAAAATCTACTGGTATAGGTACATTTTAAAGTAATGTGTTTGATAATATCTAAAATCATAGCTATGAAACGTTAAAAAAAAAAGACACAATTTATTTGCTCCGAAGTTTATATGGTGCAATCTAAAGAAACAGAAACAAACTGTTCTGCAAAACTTTTATCAGTCTTTACGTCAGTTTTTAATGTTAGATAATCACCTAACTGTACACACCAAATAAAAAAAAAACTAAATTTCACATTCGCATAAGTGAATATCGGTAGTAGATATCCGTATCCGGATTTTGCATTTTTCATTCACAAATGTTAAACAATATTAAATATTACATCACTTTGGTTATGTCACATAATATACCATAAAGTGTGATTTGTATAAACTAGCTACTTTATTGATATATAAATAGCAATAGAATTCAAACTTACAATAAAACCTTGGAGATGCAATACCGATATTCTTCCGATATCATCCCCGGTGAACAGCATATTTCTATCATTCCAGGACATAGCGGTGACTTCATTATTTTGATGCTCCTTAGATGTCACAGTAGAATGGCCACCGCTAAGTGATTGCTTGCAAGCTGTCACGGTGACTACGCCTCGTCCATTGGCAAAGCCTATATGTTTATCATCCAAGGAGATTGCTAGACGAGTTATAGCACCATCCTGAAAAAAGAATAGTTATTTTTTATCAAAAGCTGAGTCATTTGATATTTCTATTCATTGTATTTTGAATATAACACAACTTTCACACAATAAATAGGTTAGTGTATAAACTAGATTTTTATTTATTGTGCTTGCTTGACATAAATTAAAATTATGACACAGTACAAACACAGAAGATTTGACAGTATGATCATAGATTTTCTTATCAGTTGTTTGTTAACGTTATTAGTTTTATTAGCACTCATGAGTATCTTTGTTGTATTCTTTTTTATTTGCCAAAGCTGCTCTGAACAAATGGTAGGTAACAAAATGTTGGATAATTCAAAGGTACTTTTTAAGAAGGTAGAATATTTGAATTAATTCTTTTGATTATCACTTTTTAAATAACACAGCAGGAATAATTAAATCATTGAATTATCCAACATTTTGTTATATTCAAAATACAATGAATATTATTGATACTAGCAACACTAACGAACAATTACCTTATTTGGTATTAATTGAATGAATTCACATGGACTTCTGTTGAAAACATAAATTCCTCCGCTGGTTGCTCCAAAGGCTATCAATGTCTTAGAAACATCAAAGCATGTGTACTGAAACAACCAATAATAAAACTTATTTAGAAAGTAGTTTTGACTTTTGTGCAAACAACTAAGGCAGGAAGTTCACTAGACAGGCATGCCCACCACTAATTTTGTAGACATGCCTATGGTATCTCACTATGCTTTCGTATAGGTATGGGTAAGCAGTTGCAATTAGTCTGGCAGACTTGCCCACACTCTTCATTTTAGAAGCCATCAACAGTTGCCTGCATGTCTCAGTATAATTTTCCCTCACTATACTACATGAACTATTAAGATCACTATTGAGGGTGTGATAGTGTGATATGTGTTGTCAAATAGTATTATTAATACAGCACCAGCAACTAAGTACTATTTTTCTAAGTTTCATTCACAACATAATGTGAATTGATGACACAACCAATTGTTTAGTCTGCCAGACATAGACTGGTAAATTATTATGACCACAGACATGCCTGGCAGACTTGCATGTAAGCATACACATAGAGTGAATTCTCCGCTTAAAACGGTCTTCAATTATTGAAAAATTCATAATTAATGACAATAAACAGTTTGGAAATAGTCTTTTTATTTTGCTAATTCCAAATACCTTTTCTCAATATTGCTAAAAATATATCTTAAACCAATTAGCCTTTCACCTAATGTATGTATGTATGTATTTCTTTTCACACATACTCCCTTGTGGGATAAAGCTTTTGTGTCAAAAATTAAAGCTAACCTTGTTATATAAAATGCTAATGGAATGTTTGTGGCGTAATTTCATTATCCTTATAACTTAGTTAATCAATTTTGCAAGTGAGGCTCTAAAAGAAAAACCAATATAGATTAAATAACCCTTTCAAAAGACAATAGCTTTGTTAATGTAAGTAAATCATTCGATGTAGATTATGGGGGCGTAACATTCCGCCAGTGATCTAAAATTAACACGCGGTAACTTATGGTTAGTTGATCTTGCCTTGAATATATTACTCCTGATTATTTAACGTTTATATTCAATATATATAATTAAATATTCATTTATCGTTCTAGTGACTCATTTTCTTTTGTCAATATGCCAATAAACAATGTGATTCAACAACTAACCTTTATACGTTGAACGCTTTGCAGTGGAAACTGAATACAATCAGTTATGTTTGGCAGCTCTTGCAAGATGAACGGAGGTAATTTCGACGACATTTTGTTTATAAAGTAAAAGCTGCTGAACTCATGGTATTTTTGTAAATATTTATCAGAACGTGAAACCCACTCACTCTCTCCAACTGTCAAGCTGACTTGTAGGGATGTCCGATGATCATCATTTTGACGAACATCGATTTTAGATAGTAAAATATTTATTTTATAACATCGATATGGCACTAAGTAAAACATTATAATATCGATCGAAATTTGTTCGTGTAAGTACCTCATACATACACACGTTATACATTATTGACAGAAATCTACGATCAGTTCCACACTCAATAATTACTCATCGAATTCTGAACGCACAATAAAAATAACTTTTTACTACTATTCTAGGAAGCTTCCACAACCACATGTCATTTCGTCACCAAGAATTGTCGTCTTTCTGCATATTGGATCATAATAATATAATGTGTGTATATGCCCTAAAGTTTTAATTTTGTATGAATTAGGGTGGTTTTATTTATTGCTACGCTATGTGCAAAAAAAATATCGATATTGGATTAAATCGATGGTTTCTATTCGATGTTGTTGAATATAGCGGCTTCAGCTTAACGTGTGATGTTTTAGGGATGTCCATTTCAATTTATAGTAAAATTCCTTTAATTGGTATAATGATTCAACCATATTACCTTTAAAACATAAGATAAACATAAGATTGCAAAAGAATTTATTAAGATATCAATGAAATAAAAGATCATTTATCGTATTATACATAGTTTTATAATTCCTCACTTAATTTAATCTTAAATAAAAATACGAACAAGTAAAAAAAAAATTAAAAGTACAAAGATTCTGCCAAAATTTTGTATGCCTTGTTATTTAGTTTGAATAGTGTTTTTGTATAATTCGTATTAACTCGGTCACAAAAATTGCTGGGTTAGTCTTTAAACTGTTCAGCTGCTTATTCTCTAATATTCAAAAAGGAAAAGCAAATACCGCTGCATTTCTCCCGTTAAAGCACTTTTTCGTGGCCAGGATCCAATACCTTTTGTGACCCACTCAGATAGACCTCTTTGAAAGTCAAATAATTTGGTACTTTCATGATTATTTAGGTACAGATTTTGAACCTATCAAGTGCTACAGTAGGGATTATCTTTAATTTAGTAATCAAACTCTGTGGTGTGAAACGCCTGAAACAAATGTCAGATCAATTATATTGTTATGGTTCTTTAATTTATCTCTTGAGTTTTTTTGTAAACACTTTAATAAAATGGAATATACAAAATTCTTAAAACAATAAGACCTAGCATTTTTCACATCCGGGATAGATAGAACTTTATATTTTGTGATATAAGATTTCACATTCCCAAGTTTTTAGGGTTCCGTTTAGCCAAAAGCTAAAATGGGATCCAGTCCTCAGAATTATTTCATCATTTTTCAGTTACACATGATTTAAAATCAGGTTATTTTGAAAATAAATCAATAAGATTTATAAGATATTCGATTCCATTCATAGAGGAGGCTTTACTCAAGGGTAGATAAACCGTTAAGGCATAATGGGTTTCACGATCTGCTGTGATTCTTGACTAATAATGGGTCATGTATTTTGGTAAATAACTCCTTTGTAGGAATAAACTATTTTAAGCAGAAGTTCTGTTAACGGGTGGCTGTGATCACAACCTTTTTTGAGATCTAGACCAGTCCCTGCCTATACACTCGGCAGTAGGGAAACTAATAGGCTGATGATGAAACATTGATATTGTCATTCGATATCCCATACAGTTAACTCTCTTTAGATATAAACTAAAAGGGACTGGTTTGGTAAAGCCATTCTATAACTTAGCATAGTAGTTCCATCTTTCATCGCCTTGAATAGCAACTGTATTTGAACGCAACGATGTCAAAGGAGAATACCCTTATGATGGTCGTATAATGTTATTTATTAGTACGGGTTATCTAAAGGATCAACATACAATATTGCATGTTAAGATGCCGCTCACTTAAATCGCTAAGTTTCAATTTGTTTTGCACAAAATGAGGAACTTCAGTTAAGCTAAAATAAAAAAATGAAAATACTAAATCGTATTTGATTCTAATACAGACAAAATGTGAACCTACTTTATTCTGAAGACTAATTTTAAAGCTATTCATGAATGTCATTGAAGTAGTCCATAAAAAGAACACGTATGAATTTTTTTTTTTTTCAATAATACCAGATAGTGTATTAATTTTTATTATAATATTTATACATCTTCCATTAGTATCAGGATCCAAAAACTCTCAGTACATCACATAACTGAGATATGATTTAACTATTCGTAACCTACGGCTTCGCCCACATGGTCTGAGGGTATTATGTGTGCACTGGCCTGCTATACTGAAGTGTGAAGCTAATCTGAAAAAAATCTGCCAGCGGCCATAATTCTTTATTATCATTATTATTAGTTTATCAACGTCCCGACTGCTGGGGCATAGGCCTGCCCAATATATGGAATCAATTCTGGATAATCTATTGGTGTTTCTGTGGATAAAGCGCATGACTTCATAGAATAGTCCAGTTGCGCTTCGTTTGCAAAAAACATAAACAAACGTGTCCTTTAAAAAAATAGTCATTTTTATTGAATTTTTACTTTATTAAATAATTCAATAAAAATGACTACCTACCGTGCTTATTCTGGGCTTTCAGATAAAGGCTTTCGTTATAAGGGTTTAAAACAGCCTGATGCTTTACTTGTGCAAGATTCTAAGCCTGATCCTCATAGCAACTTGACGGTCAGCTTGTTCTTGCTTTCTCAATTCAGCATTTTCAGAGATTTTAGTGCGTAACGCCAAATTAAATTTTGCCAACGGATATTCTGCTATCTCTTCAGTTTGTAGGTATCGATCGAATATAGTTTAGTTCACTCAGTATTTTTCTCGCTCAATTTATTATTTAATTCTGATAATTTGAATTTAAGTTGCTATTTTAAATAAAACTTATTCCTACCATTAGTAACCCGTATCAAGTATTTTATGATTTTTAATCATTCATAATTATCGGTAGTTTGGTAAATTTTATCGCAAATATAACTTAAGTATCTCGTCAATAGTCATCCATGTATTATTTTGTCATCTGATGAATAATTCTCCATTTAAATATATTATGTAAAAAAGCCGGGTAAGCGCAAGTCCCGTATTATTATACAAATCGCAACAAATCACGTTTGTTGTTTTCAGTTGTTCGAAATTTTGGAGTTAAATACATATGGCCGACTATTACTCGTAAACTTGTAAAGTTAACTTAAGTGTAAGTTTACTTATTTGTGACAACAAACATTTAGTTGGTGGGTTGGTGAGGGACTCTAATGAAAATTGGCGTCTAATAAGTCACGAATAGATTACCCACACCCCTAATATATTTGAAAGACCTATTCAATAATACTCCACGCTATGGGAAGATAAAAAAACCATGCTGAACTTTACAAGTAGGTGAGATAACCAAAAAAATTTTTTTTAGATCTTATTTTACTAGTTTCTCTGCATACTTGTGCTAAATTACTTATTTGTAATAGCGATCGTTTTTGAACTAAGCCACGGACAAGACGAAACTATAAAGTTGACTACGGAACCCCAAACACCGCAAAATTGAAAATGAAAGAGACTTTGTTTGATAAAAATCGAAAAAATAACAAAGACGTTAAACATTTAAAAAATCAAAATCTCATTTTAAAAGGACAGTATGTCAACTAGTGATCAGTAGCGTCAGCAAAATTTAAAAACTAAATTTCGCGCTATTAATAATTTCTCATTAACTTATGTTATAATTGAAAACGAACGTTTTTGTTGTAGTAAAAATCTGAAAAAATAGGACTACAAACGCAACAAAAATCAAAATCCCTTTTAAAAAGTACAATATCGTCATTTAGTGATCAGTAGCGTCAGCCAAATGTAACATAGTGATCAGTAGCGTCAGCCAAATGTAACATAGTGATCAGTAGCGTCAGCCAAATGTAACATTTTCGTGCACATAACCAATATCACTACATAGTATAAAAACAAAGTCGCTTTCTCTGTCCCTATATCCCTATGTATGCTTAAATCTTTAAAACTACGCAACGGATTTTGAAGCGGTTTTTTTCATGGTTTTTATGTATAATATAAGACTGCGCGAGCGAAGGACTGACAGAAAACTAGTAACATATATATTTAATATTAGCTACAACGATTGTAGTTGAGTAGCTCGGTGGCGTAGTTGATAAGCGCCGCGGCCCGCGATCGTAGTCGTTAAGCAACTTTCCCTAGGGTCGGTCACGGGATGGGTGACCAAAAAATTATTATCTCGAGCTATTCCGTGCTTCAGAAGGCACGTTAAGCCGTTGGTCCCGACTGCATTTGCAGTCGTTAATACCCTCCAATCCGCATTGGGCCAGCGTGGAGGGTCATGGCCCATCCTCCTTAACCATCCATAAGGAAGGCCTGAGCCCCTGCAGTGGGGACGTAAAAGGGCTGGTGATGATGGTGATGGAATTATTCATGTAAACAGCTTAAATCATTTAATAATGGATTTGGAAAAGGAAAGGACATGGAATATAATTGAATTGTGAAAAATGGTTGCTAATTTAATAGTTGTCACTAATTAATGTCCTATCTTATACTCCCGTTTCATCCCTTTATGTGCTTTCTTTCGGAATAAGATATAAAATAGACATATCCTGTCATCGAGTTTCTTTTAGAACTTTTAAAGGGGATCAATTCCGTAATACGTGATTTTTTTTTACTATTTAGACTTTTGCGTAACTTTCATCGTTTACGCAGCGCACGCAAAGACAAAGCTTTTTAAAAGTAAAATATTCTCCCGTTTTCGTAACATATCCGGATATTCGGATATCCGGCTAGACTGTTTTTTTGCCAGCGTTGGAGCTGATGTGTTAAGCCATAGATAAAGTTAAAGGCCATAGACATAGCCTTTGCTAGAAGTGGCTTGGTTTTTATAAGCTTTTTACTTGCGGTCATTGCTACTCATCTCCTATTAGTCATAGCGTAATGTTATATAGCCTAAAATCTTCCTCGATAAAGGAACTATTCAATACAAAAAAAATCTAACCATTAGCTCCTAAGATTATAGAATTCAAACAAACAAACAAACTCTTCAGCTTTATTATTAGTAGTATAGATATGATTATAAGCTCGCCCTTAATACATTGTCCATTTACTCTGAGAAATATCAAACTTTCATTCTTACCATTTGGGTACTTCAAGGCAGTCAATTTTAATCAAAATGGTTTGCAAAATTAATATAGGTCTTATAATATTTACTATAATTGAAACGGTTTATTCTAGATCGTTTACTCTAATATTAGATTCCACGGGATCCATGGAAAATGAAATACAAGAAATTCAACAGAACATTCCAGATATTATGAATGTCTTAGCAAATATGACTGAATTCAATTATTATGTCCTCATTCCTTTTAATGACGCAGGTAAGTAAAGCATAATCTTTACATAACTATGCACTATCATTTCAAATCCTATAATCCGTTTAGGGGTTGAAATCTTCAAAATCCTTTTTTAGTTAACCCTTAATATCGTAATGACTACTATTGTGTCTTTTAGTTCGACGCGACCAATAGTTTGACTGTGCATTTTTAGATCAGTAACCTTCGCCTTTTAATATATAGATTTCTTTAATTTACGCTCTTGTTAAGATAATTGTTTCCTTTTAAAACTAAATTAATCAATGTTCTGCTGGGTGTTAGCTTTTGAGTTGTTCTTGTAATACCAATATATAACGCTGTGGTTACTGCATCCAGTGTTTGATTGAGTGACAAAAAAAGGGTGCCGTTGCAGGCGTTAACAGCCACCAATCCACAATGGGTCCGCGTTATTATGTAAAACAGAAAGATTCATGAATCATACTGAATTAGCACAGCCAAGCAGTAAAATGAAAACTTTATCAGTCATGAATCTTATAGTCCTAGTATAGTATAGTCCTTCTTTCTCAAAAATAAGATTTCTGTTCTAATATAAATGTTTATGCTTAACAATGGGGTAGAAAAGCGAAGCAGACAGTCCAAGTTTGTTTTTCATTTAGGCTTTTTAAATGTTAAATTTTATCTGTGTTCTAATATATTTGACCTAAATATTTAGTTAAGTTTCATGTTATATATTTTGATGGTTCAAAGCATAAGCAATATTTATAGAATCAGTCCAGCCTTTGGTGACAACGAATCCGTATAAATTGATGGACTCCTTGAATGAGCTCCGAGGGTCTGGAGGTAAAGAATGTCCAGAAGATTCTTTATCTGCCATACAAAAAGCTTTAGAAATAAGCGAACCGGAATCATATATATTTTTATTTACTGACGGGAATGCAAAATATGTGCATCAATTGTGGACTATCGAAAACTTGTGCCGAGAGACTAGGAGTCAGGTGAGGAAGATCAATATTACATTTTGAAACAATTTGCTATGTAACAAAGCTCATTCTATCAATTTACTGTTTATTGACATTATAATGTTTCAAATATATCTGCAGCGAAAATAATTGCTTTAGAAATACGTAATTTTTGTGCGGAAATAGTTTGAGATATTACTTAGTAACTGGAACTGTTTTCGTTTACCAGATCGTCATATTCTTGACTGGCAGTTGTTCTGATAGAGATCCTGGCGGTGTGGGACATATCGACGTATACTATCACATTGCAAGATCATGCTCCGGTACTGTATTTAACATCGCTGCGGTGAACATAAGAAAGGTAAGAATAACAAAAAGAAAGAGATGCTTTTAAGAAAGGGCCTTTGGGAAATCCCTTTGGTCACGAACCAGTCTCTGAAGAGGACTTCATTATTCTGTGTCGTTCTTTAGGAACTTGTAGATTAATAAATAAAAAAACTGTTAAAGCAAATGATTTTAATAAGTTTGTAGTCCGCAACAATGTCGTTACGCTACCTAAAATATGGTTGAGCGTAGTGTTGACTGGGTGATACATTGTGCCTACCCGTGAGCGGGTGTTACCAGTGGGAATGGGTCTGCTCTAGACGACGTAATTTTGTCCATTTTCTTTTATTATTCCTGAATATGACACTCGGTTTTGTCTACCGACCCCGCAATGGATATGGCGTGAAAATATAGTTATAGCATAATATACTCCTTTTTTTAAATGAAAATGAGAGCGACTGTGCTGCATTTCTTTAAATATTTTTCATTAAGTAAGCATTGTGAATGCAGAATTGATAAAATATAATACGCCTTTTTTCTTGTTTACACTGTGGTAAAAGTAAATAAACTTTAAATTACAAATGAATTTGTATGACACTAAACATTAATCAAAAAAAGTAATTTTCTCGTTTTTGTTTCCAAAAAAATTGTTACAGACTTCATATTTTAATGTATAATTTTTAATTTGTCTTCACAATTTTTTTTTGTTTTACAATTTTCCATGTTTTATTTCATATAGAGATATGAAATGGAAAATTGTAGCTTTTCTGAATTCCTTGTCGGTACCTACCTCTGAGTAAATGGTCTCCGGCCATTGGTTTCCGAATGATGATTATGGAATTTACAGCGGCAGGTACATATGCCAACAACTCTCGGCCGGTATCTGAATTGAGAAAAGTATAAAATCGCAATTGATAATTCTCAGTACCTAACTTAAGTATTTTACTTTTCACATTGCAAAAAGTCCTAGTTTCTATCAAACTGCTACCAATTGATCATCAAATAAACTAAAATCAGATACCAAAACCTGTTTAAGTAGTTTGAGACGTGCTTAAATTTCAATACTCAAATCAGAAATATGATGTCAGTCATTTATCTCAAAGTCACCAAAAGACATGCTAAAGTAAGAAACGAAATATCGTCATGTTATCGCTGAGATGTAGTATCGTACGATTGGAGTCATAGCTAGAGAGATGGCGGTCGCATTCCTTGCTTCAGGATGAAAGAATTCTCAGTATCAATCAAATTATGGAATAAGGTACAGCCTTGCGATTCAGTAAAAAAAGACTCGAATCCGCATTCACTCATGTATCCCAGTTCACGTCATTTAGTGAAGAAGTTCTATTGATTAAATTTTTTTGTATAAAAATACAAAACGAAATCGGTTGAATATTCGTGTCTCAGATATTTTTGTTTCTATGACATTTCGAAACTCACTTCACTTATGCCACGAAACTTTATTACCAATTCAATGTTGAACAGTTGCCGCTTTTCGAAGTGAATTATAGGATCACCTGAATGAATTCGAATTCGGGTTAGGATTTTTTTTGCAGTATTGAGTATCGAATGATAACTGGTGTAGCGCGGAACAGAGTTCGCTTAAAATCTCACTTTGATTATATTGACTACGAAACCACATAAAATAATTTATATCAAAGTCAAGAACTAATTTGGTTTTATGGTTTTAAGTTAGCACATCCGGGTCAGTTCAATGTACCGGTAATTGAGTACGACTTTAACGCAACAATGTAAGTGTTTATTATTAGATTTATTATGCATTCGCAACGCGTGCAAGTTATCTCAGTTCAAATAGCATACCACTAACAAGGCTAGTGGTCTTTATCTGATATCATGCAACAAATTTAAGTCGGGACAGTATAATGTAACTAAGTATTTATATAAATCGCATACATTTTGGCTCAGTTCATAAGTTAACTAGCTAAAATTATTTGCATTATGGAAATCTTAAACAACAAAGAAACAACAATAGATAATAAATTTAAATTTTTAATTACACGAGTTTATTAGTCTATAATAGTCTAAGAGGTCGTGACAAAAATGTTCTTTAGACAGCTCTTTCTAAAGCTTGATATTTCAGTATGTTGTAGTTTGCATTAAGGAATCTCAGTGTCGCAACAACTTTTGGAATGTGCTGAGTATTTCTTCTCTTAAGTTACCTACATTATTTTTTGGAGTTATATTTCACAATAGATTCTAAGAGGTGCTGAGTCGCCGGTGGTCTGAGTAGTACTTCTTTTTTATATTAAGAACAAGTTACTCACACATTATTAACTATTTTGAAACTCTTTTAATTTATTCTCTTCTTCTTTCTATTTTTCTTCTTCATACTTCAACGCGCGCTGCTACCAGGTGTTTCAAACTTGACCTCCGCAGTGATGTATTCTTAGTACTTCAACATACTGAAATACAAAGTTTAAGAAAGCTCTTGCACTTTCTGTCACGAGCTATCCATCTACAAGTTGTTGGTAAAAAATAGGGACAAGACAAGTGTCATATTATACTTATACATATATAAACGGATGGAGTATATACAAGAGTATAAACATGAAATTATATAGATAGTAATTAAAAAAATTAAAATGTGGTTATTAATTAAAAATAAATATATACATATATTTATATATATATATTGTATATTGAAGTCTGTTGGAGGTTATTTTTATTTAATTGGACAACCGACAATAATATACTCTCTATGAGCAGATTCCACCTTTAAGATAAACTTTGTTTCATAATTATCATCTTTCTATTTATAATGAATCCATAATGAGTACGTCACTAATTCGTCAAAATCCAATTCACAGGCCTTCAAGTATATAAGAAATATTGTGAAGACTGATTACAACCGTATCGTAAACCACGAACCGTTTGCCGGTTACAAAGAATTCAACGTAAGTATTTATACATGACTATTTATCTGTGGAGCTGGAATTGATAGGGTTTTATAAGTTTCTACACTTTGAAACTAAACAAATTATGATTTTCGCTCTCTGCATTATTGATCTCTCAAAGAGATACTATAGTCGGATTTATATTTACTCATGTATTCCTGAGATAATGTTAAAACCAATTGAGTGCGAATCGGAAGCGCGCACGAAAGGTTCCGTAAAAGAAGCGTAATAAAATCACGTCTGATGTATGAGGGGGGGCACTTAAATACTAATTTATTTTATTTGTTGTTATAGCGGCTACCAAAATACATAATCTGTGAAAATTTCAACCGTCTGGCTGTTACGGTTCATGCGTAACACTCAGATGACAGACAGACACAGACGGACGGGCGGATTAATAGAGACCCGATTTACCCTTTAGACACGAAAGTCTAAAAATAATTAAATTTGCCGCATAGCTAGTAACTGCTTGTCATTTCTTAAAAACAACATCAACGTAACACCATCCCTTCTGTACTTCCCGGACACAGGACGTGACAGCAGACTGTCCTTAATATTATTAAATTATTATAATTTATTTGGATTATATATCACTTGTTTTTTCTATTTTCTAGAGTTTTAAAACCATAATACGTCTATTGCATAGTACATCTTTATTTAATGATATCTATAAAGTTATATTATAATAGCGGTACCTATCTGTGATAAAATTATTTTTCAAAAAATATTAAATATCTATAAATGAAAATATATTTACAACGAAAGGCCTAAATTTTTTATTTATTTACATGACGTTACCATGAAAGAAATCAGTGAACATACCTATTTGCATAAAAATAATCGAAATGTAGTTTAATAGAAATAGAGACACCCAAGGACAGTTGAATTAATACGAGGATCGAGTGCAAGACAACCAAAGAGTAAAAGTATATTAGACAACTATATACTGACTATAGAACTTCAAAACCATCGAGTTTTTATCTGAGTTCAAAACTTAACACAAATTCTATAAAGAGTATACTTACGTTTTGAACATATAAATCTTTTGTTTTTTCGCTAATATAAACATGATATCAACATATTTAGGTGATATCTGAGGAAAGGCAGGTTTTGTTTTTTAAATAAAAAGAAAATAACTGATTCGATTTCGATAAAATTTTAATGGGGCCACCTCGGCCCATTAAGCTGTCGAATAAAAAGAATTTTGAAAATCGATTTATAATTGGCGAAGTAATCGCGTAACAAACACACAAAAAACATACAATAACAAAAACAACTAACATAATTAAAAACTTCCTTTTTTAAAGTCGTTTAAAAATAAAAAACGAACATATTTAATACAATCGAAAATGAATTATTTTACATACTAGCTGTTTTCCCGCAACCTCGTATATGTTAATTAAAGCTACATCATACGCGAGTGACATGTCAATGTAGTTTACCGTAGGTGAAAGAATTTTTAAAATAATTAACTTTATATTAATTATAGTGCTTTTTACAGTTCACAGCGGACCCACTCACAACCGATGTCTTGATTACTTTATCCGGTGAATACCCATTATTGCAAATATGTGACGAAAATGGATACAGTCCTACGATGGATAAAATGATGGACACCCGTCAATCTCTGGTAAGATTTTTTTATATTATAGCAGAAGCTAGCATAGCCAGCGAAGTCTTTTGACCTCTCTTTTTATCCAAGGAGAGACGAAGTGATTCATTTTCTAATGAACTTAAAGTTTCCGGGATAAAAACTCAAAGTTTATCAAATATATAATGTAGATACCACAGAACAAAGAGAGAGGTAGATAAATATCATGTCCGCCAGACGCATTTAAATTACGTTAGAATAGCCAAGGGAAAAACGTGTAGTTACAGAAATACCTACTGCAACTCATGATGTGCAGTCCATGGTAGACCAACGTGATATCACTCTCGTATCATAATAAAATAAAAATTGTCTATCGGATTAATGTCTTATCTATACTTCAGAAACCGTAAATATACACATTAAACACAATAAACTCTTTAAACTGTATATTTTCAGGTGGTTCGTGTATCGAACCTTAAAACTGGAACGTATAGAGCAACCGCCAGATCTCAAGGATCAGCCTACGTCACATTCTATATGAGAAACAAATTGAGATTCGAATATGGGTTCTCACCTATGTTTCCAAACTCATTAAAAGAGACCTGCCTACGACCGATGCCTGGTAGGTAAAAACACTAAATAAAACACAACATTATAACAAAATATCATAACACCTGAGAAATTGAGAGTACTAGATAATCGTATCTTGTGCAATACATAGACCATGTTCCAAAAAGTTTGAGTCTAGCTATAAGTATACATACGCTACGTCAATCAGCTCATCTACAGAGTTATCCCTGATGTTATGTTTTACGTCTAAGAATATTATTAAAAACTATTCATATTAACACTTATATTTTAGGCCGGACAAATTACATATTAATAGCATTACCAGAAATTGAAAATTTGAAAATAAATGAGGCATTATTGGATTTCGTCGGCAGCAACCTAACAAAACGTGTTATGTTGTATGAACACCCCACCCGTAAGGGATGTTACACGAGCAGTGTCCTTCTGGAGCCTGGTAAAGCATTTAGAATGACGGTAATCATTTTTGATAACTTTAAGAACATAATGTCGGTTAAGCTTTGGAGTTTGATACAGTGACGGCCATCGGGGGCTATGGAACTAAGCCTAGGTTATGTTCTAATTCTTACATCCAAGGCGAATGCACCGGATATTCTAAAAAGCAGAGCATTTCATTTGTTTTGTATTTTATCTTAACAATATTTTTTGTCTATTTATCTTAATTAGCTAAATGGCATTTATAATGAGAAGTAATATTTCAGTGCAACTCAAGAGGAAGGCGAATAACATTTGCTTGAACTTCTTGCCGGTTAATTTCATTTAAGTCAGTGAACCTCTGTATTGTTATCGCCTATTATTGTTTAGGGCGATGTCAGACTTACAGCGTCTCGTACACACGGTCAAATTTTAAATTATACCACATGTCAAATATCCACAAGTAGTTTTGACCTCTACCAAGAATGTGATATTTTTGACCTGACGTACTGTTGTACAGCAATCGCCACCGTCATCAGCCCTATTACATCCTACTGCAGGGGCTCAGGCCTTCCTTATCAATGGTTAAGAAGGACGTGCAATGACCCTCCATGCTGACCTAATGCGGAATGGTGGGTATTAACGACTGCAAACGCACCGTGCCCGAGATAATTTTTTTTTGGTCACCCATCCCGTGACCGACCATTGCGAAAGTTGCTTAACAACAACGGTCGCGGGTCGCGGCGTTCACCATATCCCAATACGCAGTACCTACTACGTGAGAACAATGCGAATCTATGCAAGGATCTATGTATCGAAGAAGACGTATCTTTTTCCGTCGCCGCTCACGTTTTTCTGTGTTATATGTGTCCGCGTTTTTTGCCTGCCCTGAACAGACTACAGGAATTTGTAATCGGTTCTAGATTTAATGTGTTTTCAGATTATAGGCAAAAACATCACGACATACAGTGATATAACAGGATCGACCATCATTATTCAAACACAAAACCAAAGTAAGTTTTTAATGTGTGATGAGACAGAATTTACAGTACTTTCCTTAATAAATTTTGAACTCTTATCATAAACCACTAAGGTTAAAATCGATTTTAGAAAGTAGACAGTTTTTTATGTTTGCTCGTAACTCTTGTGGATGCATCACTCAAAAAATATTTCTGAATAAATTCAAATTAGAATGATTGATATTATGTCTGAATATTTCTATAAAAAAAGCTACTTTGTGACGTTCAGTCTCTGTCTGTGTGCATGAAATTTAGTAATAAAATTAAACTAACGACATAAAATAACTTTATTAGATATACAAGCGAAATATTCGTCGCCGACTTCAGAAATAATACAACCTGACACAGCTTTAATTGATTACGAGACTAATGCGACGTTAGTTTGCAAAGTCAGAGGTTACCCGAAACCACAAATATGGTGGGAAGATGAAAACAGAAATACTCTTAAGTCTGAGGTTAGTGCATAATCTAATTTTTCACTTTAACTTCACCCTCTTCGTTCTAGATCCTACATACTGTAGGACGTGGGAGCCTTGGTATTTGACCATAACATAGCTGCAGTGCTATTCTGCTAAAAATACAGAGTTGAACTCAACGCTGTCACAGCTTTACCAATTCAATTAAAAAAAAAAACAAAACCTACTACGACAGAGCCGTGCTGTGTTCAGCGCTGCGTTTGACGCTGTAGTAACCTGCTTTCTTGTATTTGTAAATTTTTAATTATAGCAGTTTTGAAGGCATGCCATTTGCTTTTGTTAGATTATAGTTAATATTAGTTTTTTACGGGATTGTTACCATGCACCTTATTTTTATCGAGATCCCGACATTTTGGTACTGTTGTAAGCGCCATGATCCGTAAAAAACTATTGATCCGGTTTTAATATTCATGATAAACCCAGTATAATGAAGGACTACTTCCCGGTAGAAGACAAATATGGAGAAGAGTGCTCCTAGTTCCTTGTCAGTTCTACTCACAATGTCTGCTAACATTCGCTTACGAATCGAATAATTTTTGCAGCCTGAATTATTCTAAACTATTCAGTTTAGAATTTAATTTTATGAAAGTAAGATCGAGCAATAGTAATGTACCCACCCTCTATTTTTTTTTTATTTTTGCTCATAGTTTGCTTGGCAAAGACTGGTGCTTAGTAATAAGGTGACCATTTGTATACATTTTTCTCTTGCTTCTTTTTGATTTGTCCTAATATTGTACAGTAAAAAATATGTTTTTTTTTCAATGTCGCAATTATTTTTAGGATGTTCTATTAGAGATACCCTCAACCTACTTAAGCTACGTAAATATAGTATACATGACTACTAATTTCACGCTATATTGTAAATCTAAAAACGTCAAAGGTGAAGACACTAATGGTATCCAGTTATTTGTGAAGAGAACGTATTTTTTCAAAGTAATACAATCACCCTCAGGTATTAAAATAATTTACATTTATTAATATTATATAACTTCACGGTTATTGCAGAAAAAATGAAACATTTGTGGATTGTGAATTAAATATACTAACAGAAGTTACCACAAGAAAATGTATGTTGTATAATACTCGTGGCAAATACTCAGACTGCTTTGCCATTCTGTAAAAATACAACATTGAAGAAATTCAAACAAAACAAAAACCTTTATTACCTTTTGATATAGGTTCTGTTTCATTAAATCTTATTGCTGCGACGGCGCTCGCTCGAAACTAATTTTTTTATTTAGTATTAGCTTTAAAAATCTTTGTTAACTCATTTTTGATGGACAACATGTTACAGATGAGGCTATAGAATACGGAAGCACAGGTAATCTATATTGTGTAGTAAAAGCTTATCCTGAAGCAGAAGTCAAATGGTACCATAATGGAACTAGTTTAGAATATTCTGATAACATCGAAATAAATGCAGATAAAAACACTTTGACAATAAAAAATATGACTTTAGACGACATCGGAAATTATACATGTGAAGCCTACAACGAAGGGAACAGACAGTTATTGTCTGCTCATGTTACTATAACTGGGATCGGTGAGTGTTTAAGGATAACATATAAATTATGAAAAATTTATTAGTATGTCATTAAAAGTAGGTACTTTTTTTAGAGCTACGCTCAATACTCAATCGTTTATTGTCAACATATGTAACATTAAACCAGACGGTATAAGTATAAACATGAGAATATATGACCCTGTAGGGCAAGACAATTTGGGACGAGGGGCACATCTTAAAAATATATCAAATAGGTTTATCAGTTTCAGGTTAGGCAATTAACACAAATGTTTAAATTTATAAAGTAAAATAGCAACATCAAATAATGACTCTTATTAACATTCTATTGGTTGAGTACTTTTATATTTTATATTCAATGTCAAGTATTAATTTATGTTATTTTATATTTAGGGTGTTTTATCAAAATAATTACAAGAATTCTTCAATTAGACATTTGTATTTCATTTAACTGTAAATAAACAATAACATTTTAGTATCGGTAAGACAAAATATGGAAACACATCGACTTCAAAAAGTGAAAAATAATAAGGCGGTTGACATTATTCAAGAAAAAAGAAACTAAACATTATTCATTATATGTATCTTGTAAAATAACTAAATATAAAGTTTCATGATTTTATCTTTGACAATGACGCACTTATACAAACTCTAATTCCCTATTTCAACTCTTTAAAAAGCAACCCTTGTCCTATCTCATGTTAGCTCTTTTTAGAGGGTAAGGCGTGAGAGCGTAACAGATACATACACAGACTTACTTTCGCATGTATAATATTAATAGGTGTAGGTACGAAACACAGTTATTAGTTTTATTAATAGCAAAATATTTACTTTAAGTTTCAACTTCGAAGACACAACAAAGAGCTACATTTATTTATTTATTTAAAGTACAGCAACAGCTACATGTAATTAACCGACTATTAACTAATGGGTTTTAGTTCTATAGTTCTTTATCTCCGAAAACTTTTAAGCTATTAATCCAATATGAAATAAGTATAAATGGAAAGAAAAATACAAATATAAAGATCACAAAAAACTTAATTGATTATTGAAATCTACGCAAAATTCTTTGGATAAAAGGTTTACTTTAAATGCTATATAATATTGCAAAGCTTAAAGTTCTTGGTACATTTTATTTTAAAACTCAACCCTGATCAAAACAGTGCTATGTAAAAATATACTTAACGCCATCTAGTATAGCTCTAAATATATAAACGGAATTTTTTTTTCATAAATAAAATGACTTGCACTTAAACATTTTATAAGTTGAAATTTAAAAATATTTTATTTTGTTATAAATTTCTCGACTACCAATTTTGATCGCTATCTAATAAAATATTTATAAATAATATAAGATAGATATATTGCAATGACAAATCAAATAGTGAACAATGGTTGCTTTAGTATTTTCATCCCCTAAAGTGCTGGTTTTTGGTATAAATATAACCTTTAAAATATATCACCGAATGTCTTAAACAACTCATATACAATTTTTTATCGATATACGTCCAAAAACAAAGAAATTTCAAACAAATGTTTACAATCTTTTTGACTGCCTTCGGGGTGAAATTTCCAAAAATCCGTACTTTACGTAATAGAAGGAATGTACCCTGCAAATTTTAAATCTCTACGACTAACGGTTAGGCTGTGCGATATCTGTCAGTCAGTATGTCAGGACATCTTATATATATGCAGACTATCAATTCCATCTCGAGTAATATTTGTATTTTTTTACAGAACTGCCTGAGGTAAACGTTCCTGAAGAGATACTGAAACAACCAGATGATAATATAGAAATCATATGCAGGTAAAATAATCGGTGTTCTCTCGATGTTTTAAATATAAATAATATAATTAGAAATAGTGAAAAACGAAAGTGCTATAAATATAACTGGTAAATTCAAGTGCAATTATGTGAGGAGGAAGAGTTGCGGTGTTGAGTACCTTATATGTAAACATTTTCTTTTTATTGTGTTGAAAAAATAATTTATATCAGCTTAGTTATGCATTACGTTTGCTTAGATATTAAAGGACAGTATAGAAAAAGAAACTTTTGATCAAATAACCCTAAAACACAAGTCAAGTTTGAGTCAGACTGTTGCGCCCATTGTATCATGCAAATATTCTATTTTGAAAATACTAGACCAAATAGACAAAGGAGATGGCAAATTTTAGATTTTTTTATCAAACAACTTATTTGTCTTAAAAATATAATTTCATTTCAAACCAAATGAATATCTAAAAATTTTTTTATTACCTACAGCATAGAAAAAGGTAAACCTAAACCAAATATAAAATGGGAATATAGAACAGACTCTTACGGAGAATTCGATGTTATACCGGATGGTGTTGTCGTCGATGAGAATGTTCTCACGATCCCATCAGCGACTGTTGATCACAAAGGAGAGTATAAATGTACTGCCACTAATATAGTTGGTGAAGGAAGTTCAGTGACTGAACTGAAAATACGATGTAAGTTTAGAATTTAAAAGAAATTAAATAAGAAATCAACGTCTCTATCTTCGTCAACATTGAGGTGGCATTAAATAATAACTTACAATCGGTTACTGAATTGAGAATTCAAAGTTAAGCATGTCACAAACTGTACTTGGGGGTGGGTCTCTTATAAAATTTTCGTTTCTAATTTTAGTTTTTAATTGTATAGTTGATAGCAGTTTCATAAAAACTTTTACTGTGTGAACGCAAAAAAAAACATAGTTTATTGGAATTTTGCAATTTTGTTTGTACCCGGGAAACCGTTTTAAAATAGTCTTATACGAGATTGTAGTTGCACTGTCAATTTCAACAAAAAATTACAGAAATTTTCAAGTATTTGATAAATGATAGAATAAGGTGGATAAGGCTAATAATAATAATTATGCATATGTATTACTTCATAATCTATAATAGACAAATATCATTTGCAACACACAACAAGAACACAAAGCGTTTTCACTCCAATCAAATCATATATTTCAAAAGGGATAATACCATATTCAATTTTTTCATAAAACTTGAAAAATTTGTCCAATTTTTGTAACATGGGTCTCTTATTCCAGACGCTCCGAAAATAACAAATGACGAAAATACTTTTGTCGAAGTCATGGGAGGAGATCTAGTGGAGCTGCCGTGTGAAGTAGACGCTATACCCGAGGCTACGGTGAGATGGGAAATGTATCAGGATGATGTGATCGTAAATTTGGGTGATCGGCATTCAATAAAAGATAATAATAGTCTTATGTAAGTGAAAACTTGATCAGATATTTAATTACGGATTCAGAGTATCGTACTATAATATTTTTAGACAGAAATAATAATAAGTGTCCTATTAATAATATTAAAACATTGTGTACTGGGTTGTAACAACTTCAATATTTTTTGTATCGTAATAAGTGAGATTGGAACTCAGTTTTCTTAGCATGGTGCTCGGCATCTAAACCAATTGGTTACTGGCGATTGTCACAACAAAAGAATCTTAATTTTTAGATCAATAGGACATGAATTACGTTAGGATCTTAGACAAATCTCAAATTAGGTTTGTTTGCTCGTCGTCCATTGACCTGTTTTTAGTTTTAAGCCGTTAACTTTTATTACTTTTAGATTTACCGCTCTATGGAATGATTCAGGAAATTACCATTGCATAGCTAAAAATGAACTTGGAATTACCCAAAAAAATATTACTGTCAACGTTCTTGGTGAGTTTTGCTGGAATAGATTTATCTTATTTAGGCACTTACTCCGCTGGCCCAAAGTGAATATTGGCCTCGGAATACAAGAGAACGCCTTACGTCGAAATATTTAGAACAGAATAGAATAGTCATTGACATCTATATAAATTACAAAAAAAATGATAATAATAATAAAATAAAAATCAATGCAAAAAAAAAAAATCTCATCTGTTACAGTTCGGCGCTATTTTACAATTTCAAAAATACGCCTACTTGAAAATACAATCTTGCCTATTCTATGTAGGCAGGTTTAACGAAGTCTCAGGGCTTTTTTTGAAATTATTATGCTGATAATATAGGTATTGCAGGACTGGATGTTATGTTCTCACTAATGAAACCAATTCGATATACGCGTCATTGTACGTACGGTGCTATTGCAGATATAGCTTGGGTTTGACGTGCTGAGCATGAAATATCTCGAGATAATAAACTTCGTTCACTTGTGCAATGACTGACTTCGACGAAAATTGACAGAACGCATTTACCACTACATTATAGAGCACTTATAAATAAACACGCGCAAATTTTGATCATAATTACGAAGTTCAAAAATGACATGAGCGTAAACTCCATTTTACAACAATCTTCACGGTAGGTATTTTAAAATGAAATTTAAGAGGTAATTTTAATTTTCAGAGCTACCTTTTATTCAAGAGAAATCAAGAAACGTGACAGTTAGAGTTGGGACTAGTACCAGTTTTAGTTGTAACGTGTTGTACGGTAACCCGGTGCCAAACACTGTCTGGCAGTTTGTAAGCGACGTCGATTCTACTAGCAAAGTGCTGTCAAGGTGAGAAATATAAAATATTTAATAAAATCAGGCGTTCATTTGGTAGAGTCCATTGCTATAAAACGTGAGACTATGATATCTAGCGACTTCCACGTTTAGCCAGTATGTGCAAGACCACCGTTCATTCACAAATTCACATGTACAATCGTCAAAAAATCTTGTATTATCATGTCCCTTCGGATTTGGTAGACCTGCTGCGTGTTACGGTGGTGGCATTCCGTGGAGGGACGAAACACGCGTAGAGAGGAGATTTTAGCGAGATTTGCTGCTTTGTACATGTGCACAGTAGGTCTCGCAGATATCCACCTGGGACTTATTTTAAGATACCAGGTCCCGGATTATGCGCGAGGGTGGTAAGGGGGGGAATTTTCATGGTAGGCCCACTGCACTGGACCGCCGTCCTTTGCAGTGGGAGAGCCCGAGTTCAGTCGGCCTTTCGTCCAGGTCGATGGCATGTTAAGGTCAGTTCCCCTAGGTATAAAAAAAATAAAAAATTAAAAAAGGTCTCGCAGATACAAACCGGGTGTGGAAGTTCTAGCAACTTTGACAGTAATTAATGTACTAGCTATCCACCAGAGGTGTCGCCCGCGTAGTCCTGTGTTATACGTATATAGGAACCTTCCTTTAGAATCACTTTGTATATTGTTGAAAGCTATATTTAAATCTTTTATGTAGAGTAAAAGATTTCAGCGTACAGAAACCGAAAAGCGACTATATTATATAGAAAAAAACGCAAACAGCACCTTGTTTGGTTCCACAAAATGACAAATTTCCTCAGTCAATTTTGACTCTACCAACAATGCATTGAAATTTAAAATCCCATTTTCAAATACATTTTTCTATTACCTGATATACTGGTAATGTACATATGATCTACCTATGACCTAGATGATCTATAATACAAATCACCTTTGGATTTTCTAACTAAAGCATTAGTCTCACACCAGAAACTCTTTTGTAACAATTGTGTTTGTACAGACATCATTCTGTGTGATGGGAAATATTTTTTTATTATTACAGCAACAGATATTTTAATCAAAATAATTAAATGAAATTACGGTTCTTGCGTTCACTCTTGATTGCAGCTGGTAATCGATTTTCTCGCATCTTTCGCGATTTTCTCGCAATGCATACATGTGAATATTTCACGCTGAGGATGGACCATTGTGTACTGCTGCGACGTACACACACATTTTTTCTAGTGGGCAATTGTTTCATTTAAGTCATATTTATTTTTCTGTTGAATGGAATGTAGTGTGTGTGTGTGTGTGTATTTTGGCAAGAAACAAATCGTTTATCTATCTATCCATTACCAAAATGTATTTTATTCTATTTTATTTTCAGAGGTTCAGCCAACGTGACTCTTTATTTGAATAACGTCAGCAAAGCAGACGAAGGATTGTACTTTTGTATAATCGAGAACAAAGTTAGCAAAGATAGAATTAGAATACATCTCTCTGTTCATTAATTGTTTAAAAAACTATAATCCAATATTATTAAGATTTATTTTTATTGAAATAAAATGATAAGTGAATTGAAATGAGATCTTATTATAGCAATTATACACCATTGATTTATTATTAGAATTATTCTTTAAAAATGCCTTTTTGTAAATACCCATCTTTGAGGAAAAAACAACATTCGAATTTAGTTCAAGATTTACAAGGATCGATCTCGATGTATGGATACTTACAGTGTGCAGTGGTGGTGCACTCTATGCGATACGGTTGTTCGAATCGCTTTCGGAATGGCCGGTCATAGGATGGGTGACCAAAAATTTATAATCTCGACCTCCTCCATGCCTCGGAAGGTACATTCCGTTCCGGCTGCATCTGCAGTCGTTATAACTCACCAATACGCACCGGACCCGCGTGGTGGGTCATGGCCTATTGTACCTATTTGATTTTATTCGTTACCATCCATAGGGAAAGCCTAGCCCCAGCAATGGTATTCCCATTTAATAAGCTGGTGACACAAGATAATGATAAAGCAATAATAAAGATGTATTCAACATTATTTCTTCGTAATTTGAAATTTTGAGTAATCCAATATACTCTTTATGAATGTCGGTTCGTAAAAACAATCGTCTGGTAAGAACATGATAATTTCATCATAATTTTATTTATAACTAATAATAATAAAGTTATTATAATTTAAATAAGAAAAATGTAAACGTATATCTCCGTGAAATATCTCGTAAGTTCTTCCTATTTCGGAAAACCCAGAAACGGGTATTTTCTTTTTACCCCCTAATAAATCAAGTTTTTTTTCTTCATCAGACTTTTATTTATTTGCCTAAGCATCGAACCCATCACACTACTGAAATGAAATTAAAATATCTTCATTCAAGTAAGCTACTTTCAAGCACTTTAGAATCGGCCAAAAAAATTTTTTCCCCTACCACTTGCTCAGGACGTCTTTTAGCTGACAAGAAGAACAAGTGAAAGAAACTTACCAGCACTTTATCATAAGTAACGACATTTACATAAATGATGTCATTACCAAAATAATATGTATTATCACAATAATAAATACAACTTTCAAAGTCTGTCATAAGTTGTACTCATATAAATAGTTGTTATAGAACAAAGCGAAGGCTATTAATTCCATGCATTGAGATCTTTAAAATAGTCATCAACTTCATAATAGCATAATATGTTCTTTACATGAATTTTAAATTTATTTATGGGTAGGTAAATTATATTTGGTGGAACTTTATTGAACATAGCAATGCATTTACCCAGAAATGATCCTCTGGTTTTCTGAAGTCTGAAGCTTAGAACGGCAAGTTTATATTTATTTCTTGTGTTAAGATTATGAACATTCCTTTTTTTTGTGAAGGAATCTTAATGTTTTCTTTACTCGAGCTACAGGTCCAACTATCACAGTAGCATTCGAAGATGCATTTTATAAGAACACTTAGAACTTTGTGGGTGAAGAGAGAAGAATTAAAATTACAATATTACTTAGTTTTAACAACAGAATAAATAGCACACTGACTAACAGACACCCTAAGTAGACAACATATCGTAACCTGCTGGTCAATTCGGAGGGTAGATACATCTTTTTACATTGAGTCCATTCAAAGAACACAGAACGGTTTTTATTTATTTCATCAGAAAGGCATAAAATGGGGAGAAAACGTTGGTATAAAAGTTCTTGGTTTTTGGACCTATGCTGGTACTAATTCTAAGCAGACGAAATTGCGGACAAAAGCAAACTTTTCTATAATCTATTTGTACATACATATATAAAAGGAGATGTACTGACTTACTGACTGACAGACAACGCACAGCTTAAACCGCTGGTCGTAGAAACTTGAAATTTGGAGGGAACATTCCCCTTAGTATGTAAAGGTGTACTAAGAACGGATTTTTGGAAATTCCATCCCGAAGGGATCAGAAAGAGTGACTAAAGTGTGTATGGAACTTCTTTGTTTATAGACCTAAGAAGATGAAAATTGGTATTTGTATAGTTTATGACACTAGCATGATAATAGGTTATATTTTATCCCGAAAACTAGCACTTAAACTGATAAAAATGTGAGTGAAAGATTTTACTGGGAATCAAAATGTTACCATAGCAACCATTGTTTACAATCTGATTTGTCATTGTAATACATTTACCTACTATAATTTTTAAATTTTAATGGATAAAAATGATCAAATCCTAATAATTTTCTTTACGAAAGAAAAAATACTTTTATCTTATATATATATGAACTTAGATGGCGTTCAATGAATTCTAAATTGCTTTTCTTTTTCCTAGAAAATTTACCTAGAATAACTTTTCTGCTAGCTGATAGCGAGTTTATCTAAATCGCGCTATTATTTTGATCAAAGAACTTTGCGCAAGCTTTAAATCAAAATCATTAAAATGTTGATCCATGTTTAGATTAAAGAAATTGCAATTATTTGTCTTTTGCGTTTCATCAGTAATTAATTTATTGAGGATAAGTATTGCTAAGTCTTAACCTAAAATTTTCAAGCTGATAATTTTCACAAATCCTATTTTATTAAATTTGTTCATTCATATTAAGTTAGTATAGGTTTCTAAGTATATATGTCGTGGCCAGATCGTAGAATTGACCAATTCATGATGCCAGCCATTTCATGAAACGTTTGTATTTCATGAAATGGCAAAATCTTGCTGCCCACATCATGATGTGGTCTGGTCAGATCAATAAATGATTTACATTTGACGAGTTAAGTTTAGTGAGATAAATGTAGGAGTGCAGTGCGAAGGTGCAACAGCAAAGGCTATTTCGCAATTATTTTTTATATATATCGTAGGTTATGATAAAGACAGGATTGTGACCTACCTCTAGACTCTAGAGCAGTGATTCTCAACCTTTTTTTGTTGCAACACATATTTAACGATCTTAAAATTTGGCGGCACACAAAGAAAAAGATAAAAATTATTTACTTACTACAATACACTGCATAAATAGTTTATGATAAAATTTTTAAATATACGAAATAAAGTAATATATACTACGTTTATTAAAGGATTAATTACAAGTTAATAATAAAAATATTTTTAATGCGAAATTTACATTTGGTCGTAAAAATGACAATGCTACTTGTTGCGGCTTCAATTTATCTAAAATAGTTTTATTTTTATTTCAAGATAGTAAACCTTTTTTGTTTCAATTCCATTTTTTTATTTGTTTTCTTTTTAATGTCTTTGTAAAATATTCTCTATTATTGCTTGTCAATAATAAAATTTTTACTATAAACATCTAAATACAACTTGGATTATAATTTTCCCCATTTATGTAGCGAAAACATAAAATTGGCGACCGTGACAGGACACAATTCAAAACTCATCAATGTTTAAGAGTTTCAGATAGCCGTTGAACAGAATTGAACTGGGCAGTCAGTACCCAAAGCAGCAGCAAAGTTCTGTTGAAGGTGCACCAGCGAGATTTTCCAATCGGCGTATCATCAAAGAAGACAAAGAAGGGACACTTGTTTTCTGCGCCCAGGCCAGTGATGTACTAAAATATCACCCTGCAGAGCAACAGTCAATAATATAAGGGCCCTGGTTTTCCCCTTACTATTTCTTATACTTGTGGGCGTTGAATTCTTTATCTAAGTTCATTTCTAAAATTCAAATCTCACAATCAACGCCCTATCTTACCTAACTATTTAAATTGTTACTACAAAATTCATATTTCCCTATAATTCACAAAATAAATAATTTATTTTCGGATAGTGTATATCCTTATTCAATTTGATAAGTTTATATTTTCTGGTCGGTCCAAATTGCAATAATTTGAGGATAAATTAAAAAGTATATATTAGTTATCCTCAAATGTATCGGAGTTAAACCGCTTAAATAATTAAAATTATATTTTAGCCACATACAGCGATAATATAATACTACCTAACTTAGTACTACATACTACATAGTAACAGATAAGCATTTATTAATTATTTCTTCAATCCACAAACATTTAATTAAATATTTAATATTAATTTAATTTCTTTAAAAATGCCTTTGGAAAGTTGCGATTCCAAAATGACCTTAAAAGAACTGATTATCAGGCGCAGCTCAATTAAAGGCCAAATTACATAATACAAAAATTACTCAGAGAAAGTATCTAAATGCAGTTTGCCTTCTAATATGGTAATGGCCGAGTTGTCTCTGAGACTCAGTAAATTTGAGGCATTATCAATGAAGTTTGATGACTTGCAGAATCAAATTAAAGTATTTAATTCTACAAATTTACAAGCCGAACTTGATGAGCGGGATGATATTGAGCAAAATATTATTTTGGCGATTGCTACGAGGGTCAAACTGAAAGTTCTTAGAAAATCAAAAACTGATTACATTAGCCAGTTATTAGTTTTATTATATCTTTTCAAAATATTGTCCATTCACGTCAATACACCGCTGCATGCGATGGAACCACTGGGAAAAGCACTTTGCCCACTCGTCCTTAGGGGTCTCTTCAATGGCATCGCGATACGCAGCCACCGCTTCTTCAGCATTCATAAACCGCTTTCCTTTAAGTTTTTCTTTAATTTTTGGAAATAAATAAAAATCACAAGGCGCGAGGTCGGGGCTATACGGCGGGTGACCCAGTAATTCAACGTTTGATGTCGCCAAATAGTCGATCGTTCGCTTGGCGGTGTGCGACGAGGCGTTGTCGTGGTGAAGGAGGATCCTACTGCGAGGTCGTTTCTCTCGAACTTTTTCCAAGTTAAGTGGCAAACAATTGGTAGTGTACCATTCTGCAGAAACTGTTTTTTGATCCTCTAACACAATTGTTGCAAAATGACCTATCCTTCCAAAGAACGAGGCCACCATTTTTTTTCCCGCACTTCGATCTCTCTTCACTTTAGTTGGCAACTCCTCGAAAGGAAACACCCACTGAGCAGATTGTCTTTTGGTTTTAGGATCATAACAGTAAATCCAGCTTTCGTCACCTGTTAGTATGTCGAACACAGCATTTGAGTCACCTCCGTTAAATCTTTCAATCATTTTACGACACCAATCCACACGATGGAGTTTTTGAGCCTCAGTCAAATTATGAGGTATCCACCGGGCGCAAAGCTTCCTGACCGCTAAATGTTCGTGGAGGATTTTGTGCACTTGACTCATACCGATGCCTAAGCTTGTCCGAATCTGTTGATAGGTCACTCTTTTGTCAGTCTCTATCATACGCCGCACAACACAGATGTTATCTTCAGTCGTCGCCGTAGAAGGCCGTCCCTCACGTAAATCATCAGTGAGATTAGTGCGACCACGTTTAAACTCATTAAACCAGTTGTAAACAGTCGCACGAGATGGGGCTTCATCGTGAAAGGCCAATCGTAGTCTATCATAACTTTCTTGTTGACTTAAATGACATCGAAAGTCATAAAAAATCATTGCACGAAAATTTTCTCGTGTTAAATTCATGATGACGTGACACAGACAATTTTCAATTTGCCGCCAAATCGTAAAACAAATGACAAATGAATGAAATATATACTCAGTAATATTGGCAAAGAGTTATATTTTCAAATTTTAGAATTATTTTTTTATTATATTGTTTATAAGTGGCCAGTTCTAAGAACTTTCAGTTTGACCCTCGTAGTATCAAAACTATTATAAGTAGTTGCACTATGGAAGAAACTAGACGTGATTCTTTAGTCACCTGCTCTGTGTCATTCCGATGACCATGATATTGGCGTCAAGCTGCCACAAATTCAAATTGTGAAATTTGATGGTTCCTATTTTCGGTGGCTGGAGTTCCGAGATACTTTTGTGAATTTAATTCATAACAAAAAGCGTTTGTCTGACATTCAAAAATATCATTAATTGGTTTCTTATTTAGAGGGTGAATCTGCTCGTATTATTTCTAATCTTGAAATGTCGTCTAAAAATTACATTGAAGTTTGGCGAATGTTGTGTGCTAGATACGACAATAAACGACTGTTAGTAAATCACCATTTGAAATCATTGTTCAACATACAGCCTATTGTTCGTTAGTCACACAAATCTATGCGTTTTCTGATTGATCACTTCACAAAAAAATTACGCGCATTATCTACTTTGGGCCAGCCCACTTATAAATGGGATCTTATTTTAATCTTTATGATTACATCAAAATTAGATAACAACACATTAACGAAATGGGAGGAACAAAGAGAAAATTTTGACGATCTGCCGAATTTAGATCAATTTTTTAAATTCCTTAACAATAAGGCAGATGTTCTTGAATCTATATACAATAATAAATCAAACAATATTCAAACAAAAAATCAATTTAGTCATTCAGTTCCTTTCTCTTCTAACAATAATAATTATAAGCAATTTAAACATTCTTCTCACCAAATAAAAGCATTTTCCGCTACAAACCAAAAGTCATTATCAATTTATACATGCATTATTTGTGACCAATGTCATAAAGTATATGACTGTCCTATTTTTAAAGCTAAAAATATTAACGAAAGGTTAGATAACGTTGCGAAATATAAACTATGTGCTCATTGCTTAATACAAGGTCATTCACCTGATTATTGCATTTTGGGTCCGTGCCGAGAATGCCGTAGAAAGCATAACACCCTGCTACATGAGCCAGTAAATGGTGAAAACAACACAAAAAAAGGTGAGCGTGGTGAGTTCTTTGTCAATTACTGTAACGAAAATAATCAAGTATTATTATGTACGGCTTTAATTAAACAGTAAAAAGTAAAAGTATTGCTCACAGTTTACAGTTTATCATGTATTTGACTACAAATAACCTTTTGTTGTAGAACGTTCGCTGAATTTTATTATCTCTATAATAAATTAAATAAGATAAATACTTAAGATAAGTTATTAAGTAGTAATATTGTTAAGTTAAAGAAACAATAATAAGGATAAGTTATGCTTTATATATCATTTCATTTCGGTCTATTTCGAAATAAATATCGGTACCTAAACAAACTCAATCAGTGCTAGTAATAGACAAAGTTTAGCGTAAATTTACGCTAAAATTGCTATATTAGTGTTAGTCAATATTCATATTATACAAAGAATAACCAAACCAATACATTATAGTACATTCTAGGAGTAAATATTACTCACGTAGTACCCGCGCCCTTTTTGATGCTAACAAATGCCTTACGCATACTTGCTTCACCCTGCGCGAGCACCACGGGTTATGTGGGACCAACCCCCAGATTGGAATCTGGTCAAAATGCGGGGGAACGACGCGCGGTAACGGGACCACTTCCCGTGCATGTTGTCCCCACTCGACCTTCCCCTTTTACAGGGTGGGTACCGTATCGGGTTAGACGAAGGGCTCAGGAATATCCGAGTCCAAAAACCCAGACAGGACAGAGGGCCATCAGAGACCCCTCATCCGGTCCGCACGGAATGAATTTGGCTAACCCCACCAGGAACAAGAATCCCGCGTGCCCCCTCGGCCTCCTTTAAATATATTTTTTGAACGCGGTTCTTCACGACTTCAACACGTCTAAGACAAAAGAGAAAACAAGGCGATATCACCGCGTCCGTCTATAAGATAGATAAGGGCAGATGTTGACTCGTACAAAAATCATCATTTTAAACTATTTTTAAATTGTGTGTCTAGAAGCCATTACGAATTTTATAAAAATTGTGTCAACACTTTCGCTAGAAAACGACTCATGTGCTCACAGATTTTTATATATTACCTAAAAAAGAATAAGTACGAATTAACTTTGTAATATTTTCTATCGAGAAAATTTTATAAACACTAGTTTTCTCATTTTCAATTACAGCTTATTTGAACATTATTTCTACTTATTCTTATTTGACATAAGATTTTCATAATACAAGTACTTTTGGTGTTCCATGTTAAAAGCTACTTAATTTGATATATTGAGCAATGTATTTAAGTTGTTATATTTATAAATTATTTTATATAATTGATATTAATAAACGATCTACCTCTTCGTACATTATAATTATAAAACAAGTTAACGGTAATTTATATATAATCTGTGAATAACGATTCAGATTTCCTTTAGATCAAAGATTCAGTATAAATATTTATAATTAATATCAAGTAACGATACGATTCTAATAATACTGTTGTTAACAATACGGGAAGTCCCGCTGCTTTTAATATTGGCTTTAATATGTCATATCAGGGTTATACGATAGTTTGTTTATGTAGCCAACTTTATTACAGCAGTCGGCCAGTTCTTGTGATGCTTGTGACGATATCACATCGATGAGTATTTTAAATTTTATTTAAACAAAGAAATATAAAATGTGCAAAACTGTATTTCTTTTATTAGCAATATTTGTTGCTATTTCTTATGGTGATGATAAGAGTAGTTTAACGTTTGTGATAGATGACACCGGTTCTATGAGTGATGATATTGCGCAAGTGAAGGAAGGAGTCAATCTTATATTCGACACTGTCACTAATTCGAACGTTTCGCTTATTGAGGATTTCGTTTTGGTGACATTCAATGATCCACGTAAGTATTTTCTTTATAATTTACAAATAAACAAGAATTGCTCACGCCATGTGAGTAACTTTGTGGCGTGATGGATAAGCACCGCGGCCTGCGTACATTGTTGCTAAGTGACTTTCGCAAGGGTCGATCATGGGATGGGTGACTTAAAAATTATTATGTCGAGCCGTTGGTCCCGGCTGCATTTTGCAGACGTTGATAATCGTTAATCCGTAATTGGCTAGTGCGGTGGGTTAGAGCCCTTAAGTATCCATAAGGAAGGCCTGACGTAAAAAGGGCTGATTCTACTCAGCCTTAACGTTAGTGTAGTCATACGTTTTCTTTTCTTTTTTATTTATAATTATTGTGTGTTATTATCAATTACGGATATTATATTAATATAGATATTGTGCTCCGTGGTGTCATTGCTGGTCTCTGCAGAATATCAGTGCAGCGGGTCCTGCCTGCTGCTTATACTGAGCTGAGTCCAGCGTTGGCATCACATAGCTTTCGCAGCAACCTGTTTTTCAAAATATTTATATTCAGCCCTATTTAATGTTGTTGTGTATGTTATGTGGTTTCAACAATCAACGAATTTTCTTTCTTCTTTATTTCTATATTTTTAAAATATCTTTTGTTCTGTTTTATTTGTATAGATATTCAAACATAAATCACATGCGTATGTGCCACATACGACTGTATATTTATAGCCATCAATAAAAAAAAAACAGTACTAATGAGAGCTAAACAATTATAAATTCATGTTTTAGCTGCCTTTGTAATTGATAGTATACTTAATTAAAATAATGTTTTAAAAAGGTCCATTTAAATAAATGCTATCAAGGCATTATCGTGAGTAGATAACCTAACTAACCTAAGTTAGATTTTTAAGACGTTTTATGTGACGTAGAATTTCATTCGACTATACTTATTGCACAATATTAAATTTAATAAAAAATACTAGGCAGGAAAAAAACAATCAATCGGTTAGATTTGGTAATAATATCAACAGCGAACGAACGCCATAGCAAAAATAGGTTGATAGCCTTTCCTGCATTGCATGGTTCCGCATTTCGAGACTTACTGAGACATTCTTGCCTAAATGTTGCTCGATCTATTTGTATACGCGAAATAGTACCTAGAGAACTCGACTAGCCAGATACTAGGGCTTATAGAGAAGGGTATATGGTAGGGTTTTTAGTGAGTAGGTCTCCGATGATCCAACGGACGAACTCATTCTGTGTATATATAGGCGAGTTACACACACCTCGTACCTCTCGCCAGGCAGCAGTGTTAGAACGTAACGTACATGATATGCGATTCTTTTTGTCTATTTAGCGATACAAATACCACGAAACCGTAATGATAAACCACTAATTTTATGCCACAACAAATGTAGTTAGACATATATAGTCATAACCTACTTAGATTACATCGTAAGAGTTACAATAACAGGCATTGAAGAGTAATTAATGTAATTTTAATAATACTAGTGGTCACAGTCATGAACTGAAAATCATTATGGTTTTCTCGATTGAGATATGTTATCGAAAACAGTTTAACAGTCAGTAAATAAAAGTGACAAACACACTAAGAGTGTGTTAGATTTATATAGGTGGAAGTCATGAGACTAGCTCAATGAACAGGCCTCCCCTTTGCTGAATCTTATGTTATAATATGTATGTTGACACCCCAGTCATAGATAAAGGTTATTATGTCCTACCTACCACTCTCTCCTCGGAGGTCCCATGTATCAGGTCCGGATCTCCTCCCAGGATACCGACTTACACTGCGCTAACCCAAGCAATCCGCATTTACCAGCTGCTTCTCGGGTCTGCAGACACAATTTTTTGCTATTTATGGTAAGATGTTCATTCACATAAATCTGAACTCCAGTTATCAAACCTTTCGTCAAGCAAATTGCGGCTAAAAATTGTCATGTATGATCTAGCTTGCAAACTTAACTACAACGTTCTTAGGCTAGTTAGTGTTAAGCTGCATTTTCGCAACTCGGTGTATGAATATAATATCCTACACTGATAGTGGTAGTTTTAAGATACTAGCAAGATTTTCCATCAAGAGAACCAGGTTTTCCCCCTTTTACCGGGTAAGTTGATAAGCTCTGCATTGCAGTTTTATTTCATAGATACCAATTTAGCATTTATTTTGTGTTCCACTTCCGAGGTAAGAACACTGATATCATTAGTTTTCATTTCGAGGCTATCGTATTTGTCGCTTAATGTATGTATAAATTGAATTGAGGATTTCACGCTTACAAAGTCTGTGAGGAGTATGGAAAACTTCCTATCTTGCTTTGAAAACCAAGATACCATCACTATTTTTATGGTGTTTTGAAACGTACATTGATTCCAGTACAGATATAGATTCCAGTACAGAACATAATATCACATATTGATTTCAGCTAAGGTACTAGAGCACCCTCCTTAATGATATACAGTATAAGAATATAAAATGAAATGAAACTTTTTGTATTAGATGTTACATTCCGGACTGCCACTAAAAGCAAGGAGGTATTCAAGCAACAACTGGCAAGCATCACCGTCACAGGTGGGGGAGATTGCCCTGAAATGGCGATGACAGGTATAGAGACCGCGCTCTCGTCGAGTAAGCCAAAGTCCTATTTGTATGTATTCACTGATGCCTCCGCTAAAGATTATAGTAAACTAGAAACTATACAGAGTAAAGCGATCAAGGATAGTTCACAGGTTAGTTTACTTAATAAACAATTTACTTAATAAACTTAAGAGAAACGTTAGAAGCTTGTAAGATATAAATATTAGACGCCTTCACATACCTTATTCAGATCCCAAAATAGCTAAAGCACTTGAATTATGGAGACTTGGAACAATGAAGGTAACGCAACACCCAGAACCGAGACATTACAAAAAAGTTAATAGTAAAGAATAGTTTTAAACCTATCAAACACTTTAGATGCTAATCGGTGTAAACAAATTCACGCTTAGGATAGTCTATTTTAATACGATTTCATTGATATTTATTCTTAATAAAAAATATTTAAAAAATCCACTTTGTCCCTGACACTCTTAGATGGGATTCGCAGCCATGATCTTACCCCTGAGCTACCCAGAACTTAACAGGACTGATGAATTTTTCAAGCACTTATTACTTTTTCGCTACTACAGAGCGTTTTTTATTTAATGTTCCGGCAATCCACCCAAACAGCAGAAAGAAATATATTTTTACAAATATTTCAACTTTCGATATAGATAATAATTTGTTCTAATGATTATATTTGACCAATTTGTATTCACAATACTATATAATACTGAAAAATATTTCCTTAATTGAAAATGCTTCAAAAATACACTTTGTCCCTTTTTTTAGGAATAATCGCGATTTCATTTTACTTTTAGGTAGTATTCCTATTAACTGGGAGATGTACAGCTAACGATAACGATCCGGACTACCAGGCATATTATAAACTGGCAGAAGCTACGTCAGGACAAGTATTTCATTTGGGCAAACAAAACGTGAAAGAGGTAATTGATTTTTCTTAAGCTGGGCTCGCTTAAAATGTGTAACAACTACTAAATGTGCTTTCTGTTGATCATCCCGAGTATCTGCGCACGAAAATACCCGGGATGATCAACTTTTGGTCAACAAGCCTATGACTGCTTTGCGAAATGTCTTTGCGAAATTTGACCTACTTATTATAAACGGAACACACTAACCGCTGCGCCTTCTCTTCGAGTACGGGTCAAGGGTCTCGGCTCTGATATTCTGGCCCATTTTTTTATAAAACACACTGCATTATTTATTGTAATTCCAAAGTAAGGAATAAACAATATAATACCTGTTAACAAAAGTGGTAGTAGAAATGATGTTATAAATTATCTAGTTTAATTGAAGTCAACTCTGTCGAAAGTTTTTGAAAGATTAGTACATGTATATATATATAAAATTCACATAAAATCATAGCATGGTTTTGTTAAAATAAATGAATTATCACAAAGCTAATCTTATTTACTAATTATTCGAATATATGGATAGTTGTGTCCAACTAGACATTATTTAGATTGTCTTCTCGAAAGCTTTCGACAACTTTGATCATAATTTACAATTTTGCCTTCTATGTTAGAAATCACACTCAGGAGATTTTAATTAATAGATATCATTTTGGTATGATCGAGAACTGGTGCATGTGGTATGATAAGAATCGGAGGTAACTCAAGACTCGATTTCAAGACTTTCGCTATTTGTCTTGTTGTTACTGATATAGGCCAATTTTTCAAACCTAGTAATTATTTATTTATACCTAAGAGCTCAAAATATATCGTAATATTAAAACAAGTTACGAATAACGAATATATAAAAGTACAAGAAGATTTTTGCTGCTAAGCGAATTATTAATTATCTAAGCTTGCAAATGTAAACCCATCACGTTCACTTGGAAAATTAATTATCTTGTATTTATTTACATTTTATTGGGCACTTCATTAAAGAGATTATGAAAGATTTGGGATTGTTTATGGATGACGAACTTCATTTTGAACATTTTAATATAAACATATCACCAACGAAGCTTACAAAAAGTAAAATTATGTAAGCACATATAAATTTTGGAAATAAAATTATTATTATAAAGACTGGTGGAACGATACATTTTTTATTATTATTGAGATTTTTATATTTGATCAATTCTTGCATTTACAATGCTTTAATTAAAAATGTTTAAATACCCATAAATCCACATCCACTTGTCGAACATTTCTGAGATTTATGCAATTTTACCAGAGATTACTAATTGTGTAAAATATAACCACGGATAAATTATCTTAATAATATATTTTTTGTTGTTTGTTATGTTCTATTGGCGAAAAATCTTCATGCGCAGCTGAAAGACCTTATACTGTTTATAAAACAATTTTACTTAGGTTAAGTCTCTATCTTGTTTATTTAGATAGCATATAAAGCGTGGGTTGAATAATACGAATATTATCTGTGTGTGTTAAAGTATCTTCAAAATATTAGCATATTAAGGTTATTTTCTATGAGGACTCTATTATTGTAGTTCTATCCTTTGTTTGCTTTTTTCAGATCTTGCACTATATAGCTGAACAAATCGAAAGCCCAAAAACGATAATTACAGCTAAAAAATTTCCGCCTGGTCCAGGACATAACCTCACGGTAAACTCAGATTTGTATAAATAGTATATTTATAAACTTTCGCGTTGCATTATATTAGATTGCATAAGACGGGTATTAACGAGATAGATTCCGATAGTTAGGTTTTTCACCTACCTATATTACCACACGTTTCAACCAGGTTACACCGGCCGTGGTCTTATACATTCTAGTATACCTTACACTGAATTCCATATTTAGAAATTCTGAAAGAAAATCAACAGCTAACAATTTTAGTGATGTATGTTACTAATTTATTATGTTTGTTATTAACTTTATTTTTTAGTTTCCGGTAGATCCAGACATGAAAACTTTAATAGTCTCAGAATCTGGAAAAGAGCCCACAATAGATGTTAGATCACCAGACGGCAGCGTTCCAGACACAAAAACAGTTGTAGATTTACCAGAGGTTATTGTGAGTATATATCAATAAACATTTCACATTCATTTTATTTCTTGGTCCACTTAATTCACGTAAAAAGACTTTTTCGAGGCCTTCTTTCTCATATACGAGTATAAAGAAGCCATTAACAGATTAACACCAATGTAGGTAAACAATAGTTTTTTTTTTAATTAAGTGGTATTGAACACAGGCTATACGCATAGATGATACGATACCTGGAAACTACACGGCTGTGGTCGGCAGTAAATCGGAGACCAGCGTTGTAGTGACTGCTACTACTAGTATTAAATTCAAGCATGGGTTCTCTGTTGTACCTCCTACTAACATTGGAGATACTGCCACTAGACCTGTTTCAGGCAAGTTTGTGTCTTATTATTGTTTTGTGATTTGCATTTGATTGTAAAGCACTATAAGTCCATTTATTTTCAGTAATAAGCTGAACTTCTACTTTTGAATCAGGTCTTACCATTAGTTTACGACTGAATAAAATTATGATACTTTATATACACTGAACTTACAAAATTTTTCACTTCATTGCAATTATTTTAAATCTCAGTACCTTATAATCCAAAAAAAAGTAGCCTTTTCAAAAATGATTAAGATTAAATCCTCACATTGATATTTGGCTAAATGTTTCAGATGAAAAAACTCATTTATCCATCAAATTAGAAACTCCAGACAATGATAAGATTCTTGCATCAGTAGAAATATTAGATATCAAAGAAAATGTGCGTCATGAAATGCCATTGACGTTGATCAATGAAAAAGAAAAATTTTATTCAACAAAAGATTTCCAGCCGCCAGAATACCTATTTAAAATTGCAGTGAGTATTCTCTGTAATTTTATTACATAGAATGAAAATTAGTTGGTGCTTTTAATAAATACTTTTAAAAATATTCTCAGGTTAAAGGATTAGATACGAAAACTAATACAACTTTTAAAAGGATTGGCCCTACTCCTATAGAAGTCCAACGTCCTATAAAAGGTAAAATTTAATTGGTATTTAATCCAATACCGTGCAAACGCGTGAAATTGTAAGTTGATATCAAGTTCCTACTTGAACAAATGAAAAATAACTTTCGTAGTATAGTAGTTCCAATTGCCTTGAGTGCATTTGGTTCGATCTGATGACGATCTAATGGAAATCAATAATTACAGTGTAGAGCAGCAGGCGTTTCTTTATGACTTTAAATAATCATTGCATTATGTAATAATTATTAATTGATATCTAATTTCTATTTATTGATTGGATTGATGGTTACAATTTTTATTGTGTTCAGGAGTAATAGATGCCATGGCGCCTTCTATAAAATTTGATGGTGGATTAAAGATAGACGCCGTATATAATGAACCCTTAAAAATATCTTGTAAAGTTAGAGCTTACCCTAAGCCGGACATAATTTGGGTTGATAATTCTGGAACATTTTTTCCGACAACGGTGAGTAATAGAAAATCTTTATTTTTAAGAATGATCTTAGTCATAGAATTTAATTTAACAATGTTGCTTGACAAAATTTAGCTGCAATTGCTTTTCATTCCTATTTTGGTTGCTTGTTCAGCACCCAAGCTTTAATAACAGTGGATTTTATTAGGCAGCACCGCCACCTTTGAAAGTATTCCCGAAGTATTTCGTGGCCTATGCAAAGTCTAAAGTAAAGTCTATACTAGTCTTACAATATAAGCGTCGCATGAAAGGAGACCCCACTATATTATTTTATAAACTTTTGCTTAGTATCTAAATGGTTATGTGATTTAAATAAGAAATCTTTCTGTTTCATTATTCGCAATGTCAACATTTCCTGTTTATGTTTAGAGTTCTACAATGACAGTTGATAATACCCTATTACTTATTTTATGAAATAACTAGTTGTTGTTTAGCGGCTTCGCAAGCGTAAGTATTGCCTATATCAACCTCGTGTGATGTAGCGACCTATAGGTGAGGTTTTTAAAATCGGTCCAGCAGTTTTGTAGCCTATTCGATGCAAACAAACAAACAATCGAATCTTTCCTCCTAATAATATTACCTCTAGTATAGGTATTTTTTTTTCTGAAGTGTTTAATTTTGAGTTAATTAATTGTATTACAAGGTTTCCATCGTGGAACTCCCATATGATTACATCAGCATTATGAGCATAGACAAAATCACAAAGAACTCGACGTATACATGTAAGGCTTCTAACACACATGGGGATTATTCCAAGAATATAGATGTCGTGACAATGCGGAAGGAGTACTTCAATATCATAGAAGTTCCCAAAGGTATTAAATATAAGTTTTCTCATTACATAATAAAATAACAATAAAGTCAAAATATTTTCACTAAGCTATTAGAAATCTAAGCAAAATATTTGGTTTTTAAAATGCTTAAATCTCATGTACTACATAAAATAAATGCCATATGATGTGGATTGAATATAATATTTTATCTCTAACGATTTGTTGAATTGTTTTACCAACAAATGACGCTCATATTTATCATATATAAAAAAATTTACTGTAATGTAAACATGCTGAATATTAGCTCTCTCATATAAGGGATAGTTTTGTATTTTGTCTGGAAATTCATTCCCATTTTTAAAAAGCCATGAACAGTTTTGCTTCTTCAGAATTAAATTGATATTAGTGATTGATTTATGCGCAATATTAAACGTATAACTTTTAATTTATATAATTTTTCAGATACAACTATAGAATATAGAAAAAGTGGTAAGATCATTTGCAATGTCGATGCATTCCCTCCAGCTAATATAGCATGGTATAGCAAGGAAACAAAATTACACACAGATGAATTTTTCGATATATCTCATGATGGTACTGTGTTGATAATAAGAGATATGCTACCTCATTTAAATAAATCATATAGTTGTCAAGTCAAGAACGATGATAATAAAGAAACTTTTCCATTCAACATAATTCTTTTAGGATTTGGTAAGCATAAAAAAAATTTTGATGGAAATTCTATTTTATTCAAGAAATCTGTCCGTTTATTGTAAATTCTTTTAATCGTTTCACAGAAAAACCTGAAATTGAAAAAACGCCGCCTATACTCCATGGTATAAAAGGAAATAACAGTGAAATAATTTGCAGGTTAGTAACAAATTTTCATTTTCTTTTAACCCATCCTGAAAAGATGAAGCTTAAACGAGGCCGAAAGTAACATAGCCTACTTGCCTTTTGAGGGCTCCGGGCGTGGCGTTATTAAACTCGACATATATGTGATTGGAAACTAAGTAGTTAAAGCATCGACATCTGAAATCTGAAACTATAAATGTGTAAAAATCCCGAACAATCAGATAAACAAAGACATTAAGAGTATGTTTTAATTGTTGTATATATGGTTCGATCCTACCTATCAGAAACTTGTCTGCACTTTAGACTATGACAATATATATAAAATAATTTTAGAAGTCATCAAACGAAACTAAGTAGACAAAAAGCATAATTTTAGTTTCATTTAAATACATATTTAGAAGCGCATTTACAAATATTAAAAAATGAAACACTAATTTCAGAATCATCAAAGGATCTCCAAAACCTCAAATAGTTTGGTATTTCAAAGCCGAGGGCAATAAAAGATTTTCGAAGTTGAATGAAAGTGGTGAAGTTTTACTGCTGCGAAACCTGGATTTCTCCAACGAAGGCGTTTATACTTGTCACGTGTCAAATGACGCTGGGCAAGATTTTAAAGAAGTCACACTAGTTGTCGACTGTATGTATTATAAATCTTTCTTATTTACACAATTAATAAATGAGAATAGGTAACCGACTACGAAGCTCTGTGCGGATTGGTAGATATTTATGACTACATAGACAAATAATGACGACACAACTCGAACCAACAGTAATCCATTGACTCAATCTAATTACTTAATCTATGCAATCGTACACTGGGCTCAATAACTACTGCGCCACCGAGCTGCTCATGAATGTTCATAAAAATACTAAAAACATATGGTGAAATCAGTTGGATGTAGTTCCACGGAAGGATACGAAAACTTATTTTAGTGATTTCAGGACTTAGGTAAAAGAAGCACGGTATAACGTACTGTTTGGTGTTATAAACTCCACTCTAAATTTTATATTAGCATTAAAATTTAACATGGATGAAGTACATCAATTTAAAAAATTAGCAATCGAGTATGATTTTTCTTGGGGAAAAATAGTTTGAAGTAAATAACCAAAAGATATTTTACCAAACTCATATTTGAATATTCCAGATGCTCCTTACATAGACCAAGATAAGTTTCGTGTCATATCTCGTCATGGCGAATCCACTACTTTAAAATGCCAAGTACATGGTGTACCAAAGCCGAAAGTGAGCTGGTTTCATGATGGAATAGAGATTTTCAACGATCGAGAGCATCATATCTACAGAGATCATAGTTTAAGGTAAGTTTTAAGATTTTTTTATTTGGTGTCTTGTGACATATTCATTCAAATCGTGTTAGTGTTATTTATTGAAGTAATATTGCTAAAATTGCTACTAATTGCTTTTTCAACCTCATAAATGTAGTATGCAAACAAGTTACTTAGCAAAATTAACGAATTAACTATTTATAACGCGGGGATCGTGGTCTAATGGATTTAAGTTGAATATTGTTATAATATTCAGTTTTTGTAAAAACTTCGTAAGCACAACTCAAACTAGTTAAGCACATTCTTTAAGTAGTAGCACCATCTTATTACTGTGTATAGGAACATGACGCTGTTGATATTAATGATGTTAGCATAATGAGACAAATGTCGCTAAGATGGATGGATTGCCAATGAAGAAGTATTTAAAAAACATTTGTTAACATTAGTTCTGGAAATCAAACTAGATGTCGCTACGGTACTTCCTTGATTTCTCCATGACAACCCTTCTGGTTTTCTTTCATGTATAAAAGTAAATTAATTTTCAAAACTCAATCAACAACTCATAATCTATTTGTACTTTTTCATATTTGTTTTGATATCGATATCTAAGTTTCGAACTTTGCAAATTTCAGTTTTTAATATGTTAGAAGGAACGGAAATGACTGTCTTTGGTCCATTTGTTTCCTGCAAAAATCAACTTTAGCTAGAGTCGCCATCAAGTGAGGTGCTTAAATAATGGTTTCCCTTTTTCTTAAAAGTCTGGCTAATACAGATGTTTGGAAATTATTTTTATCCTAATTATTAATAACAATCATAATATATACAAGTATAACTGTAACATTTTTATTATAGATAAACAAGTATAGCACATTAAATTCAGTGAATTATTTCAAACAGGGAAGTAAAAGCAGCCCTTGTCGAGTTTCTTGCCGCTTCTTTTCGGTACAAAGTCTCCCACAGTAGTTTTACGAACCGATGGCGTTGAGTTCCGATTGTAATAGCCTAGACAAATAAATTATTTTTATTTGATTTGAATTAACTTAAGTTACTTATATTATACAAGATTTTTCTTTATGACTACTTAAGATAAAAAAATGAATTTTAATTTTCAGGTTCAAAGGATCACTTGCAAACAATGGCCAATTCGTATGTATTGCATCTAATACAGTTGGCACCGCATCCAGAACCGTGCAAGTTGATTACATTGGTAAGAAATACATAATCAGTTGTTTTCAAGTCGACACATGTGTATTTTAGCACATGCATGGCTATTACTGCTCAAGATCATTATGCCACTGCTGAGCCCAGGACAGGGCGGAATAAATAGAAGCAACTCTGATCAGTGAATGTTAACTGTAGATCAATGTAAAACTTTTAGCTTATTAAATTTTGACTAACAATTGAACAATTGGCTTTTCCTAAAATGGTTTACCATCACATTAATTGCCGCACATAAAAATTGCAATGTTTCAACTTAAAATAGGTCATTTTAATGGTAGAAATATATCAAACGAAGATTTACCGGTAACCGTGATAATCTATCAGTTCCAGTTGCAATAGAACCACCAAAAGTCAGCACCTTTGAGATGAATTTCGGTGATCGAATCACGTTACCCTGCCAAGCTGATGGCTATCCACGACCCACTATCAAATGGATATTTTACAATACTGTCACCAAAAGACGTATAACAATAAGGTAAGGTGTGCAATCAAATCATCAGCCTATTACTGTCTCAGCTACTGGTACATAAACAGGGCAGAATGGGTGATATTAACGATTGCAGATGTACCTTCCTTAGAACGGGAAAGTTTAAGACCATAAATGTTTGGTCACTGATCCAATCCACACAACCAACCCTTACGAAAGTTATTTAATCTCCAAACTCATTCACCACTACACTATGGAGCTTCTAATTGTAAAATAAAATGCTTTTGGTACGGATTTGTGTATGCAAACAAACTTCTGAATCCGTACAATCTGTTACATAGTTATGCAATATTTTACATGCATACCCAAATTCCATAAATCGACTTGAAAGTGTACGGATTTAATTCATATTATTCATGTATATGTATAATTTTAGACCATCAGATAACTCCGGTTCGCTAAACCTGTACAATCTGCATCCGCAACAAGGTGGATACTACAGCTGCGTCGCACGGAACGTAGACAGTTCTGCGAATATTACTTACCATATTACAGTATTAGGTAAAATACCAATGGTATATACCTCGTGTGTTCATAAATTATGAGAAAAACTTTTTACTGAAAAAATAAAATAAAATGTTACGGGCTGTTATTTTTTTTTACCGATTTTCAATTTAGAATGTTAACATTTAGTTTATTTGTATCGTAAGTTCATTTGTTTCTATTTTCTCGTAATGGAAGGAACGAAACAAATACGTGCAACTGTCATTTCGCTATTTAAGGCGGTAAAAAAACCGATGCAGATTTTCCGCGTGGTGAAAAGATTTCCTGTAAACCATAACTTCGTAAATTACACAATACAGCGGTACAAAATGACATTTTCTCTGCAAGATCGTCAAAGGAGTAGTCGGTAACGCCCTGTGAGGACGCCTGCGAACATTAAAATCATCCGAGAGCGACTTTGTCGAAATCCATGTCGCACTCAAAAAAAACTCGCTCTGCAGACTAATATTTCGCGCGTTTCAGTGAACAGAATACCTCAATCCGCTGGATTATTCTTTATGGACTGAATTAGAGCTCAGGGCCTGCCGAAAGCCCCACCCAAACTTGCAAGTCACTGAAGCGAACCCATGTTCGAGAAGCAAAGAGAATTCCGCTAGAAAAGATTCGTGCCGCTATTGATTACTGGCCAAATCGTCTAAGGGCCTGTATTAAAAATAAGGGCGATCATTTTGAATAACATATATATTATATTTTTGATTTTTATCTATTTAATGTTAACTGAAAATTTTAGAAATATAAGATAATTATTAAAAAAGTTACGCAACTTTTATTTCGTCTCAAAACTTATGAACACACGAGGTACAAATATTTATTTCAAATACAAAGAAAAAAAACTAAAAGTGGAACACCATATCAAGATAATGAGCTTTTATATAGACAAGAGTTTAATGCTTAACCTACTCTGGACTTGGTCACTGGTTTAATAAGGTTTGTCAGGTCACTTTTCTATTGGTGAAATGCAAACCGTTAGTGAAATTCTGCTTGATTTCTCACTTTGATTTTTTGATAAACTCTTTCTTTCTGCTGACTTTTATATTTGTAAGAACTTTTTAATATTTCTTTTTTTATTTCCGTACAAAGATATCATGTATTGTAATACATACATTTTAAAATCGACTTAAAGATCAATTCATAATGTGATTTGCTTATTTCAGAAAAACCTTATATCCACAATAACAACCCAAAGAAAACTTTCACGGTTGTGACAAGAGATCTTGTTCACGTGATTCCATGTCAAGCCTCTGGAAATCCAAAGCCAGAAATCACGTGGAGCAAAAATGGACTAAATATAGCTGCAGGTACGAAAATTGTTACATAAATACTCTATCAACTTCTCAACAATTTCTTGCAACGAGTAAGTGATTACTTTTTACCAAGTCGGAAATTGCGATACTATTGCGAAATTAAGAGCGATTATTATTTTAAAAATATTTGAAAAAGTCGATTCAGATACATGGCAGATACGGGCGGCAATATAGCATAATAAATGCAAAATTAACTATATAACAAGTCCGTCTTCCCGCCGATTATCGCTTAGTTTCACAGAACTGTGTTCTGTAGGCTAGTTTAATGCAACTACGTTTGAACTTGTTAAACCAGTTGTCTACAGTGGCACGAATTGAGGCTTCTTCCTTAAATCAATCGAATTTTTTCATAATTTTTTTGTTCATTGCTAAAAAGTTATCTCTCTTTAAATTCACGCTGACGTAACATAGTCAATTTTTAATTTGCCACCAAAATATAATCGAAATGACACTTTAATGAAACACATATTATATTATCAAAGCTATAAAACTCTGTATAAACTATAATCCAAGTATAATATTATTTCCATTTTCATTCAAATAATTCCTTTTTCAAAATTTAAAGAATATTTTTTATTATAACAAGTGGCCAGTAAAAAGCTTCTAGTGTAATGAGAATAAGATAATAATTAATCGTTATAAGAATAATGATGTAACAAGAATATTTAAGGGGGTTTAAAAGAATCACTTAATACTGATTTAATTTTTCAAATGGCATTTCGCATTTCATATTTGGACACTCAATGGGTATCGCAGTGAATTATTAGTAACTTTGTTCCAATTCATTAGATAATTCCATAAATAAATGATTATTATAATTCAATAATGTTGCAATGTATTTTTAATATAAATGTGTTACTTCACATTTTGTATCACTCTGACACATTTATCAATGATTGTTGCAGGAACTGAATGGTATGATATCCAAGATGATGGTACGTTAGTTATCAAAAACATTGATGAAGTATCTGCCGGTAGTTATGTTTGTAAAGCTCAAAATAAAGTTGGCGAAGACAGTCAAGCCTTCCATGTCATAGTTCGACGTATGTATTACTTTATAACTATTGTTATTTTTCTTGTTTATCATGGTATATATTCTTAAAATTTTAACATGATGTTTTAGCATTAAAATTTGATTCAAAACTTAATTCCTAAAGTGAAACTTATAGTTAAATATTTAATAGTTTGTGTTTGTTGTTAAATATTTAATAGTTTGTGTACACTAAATTGACTCCTAAACTACTGGGCTGATTTGAAAAGTCTTTATCTAAGGAAAGCTAGAGACACGGGAAAACAACATGTTTATTGTAAATAGCCGAAACCCGCGGCTTGGTCCACATGGTCCGAGAATACTATGTGCACACCTGCCAGCTACACTAGAGTCTTAAACTAATCTTAATTTAAATCTGCCATTAAGCATTCACCTTTATATATCATCATAATTAGCTGATCAGCGTCCTCACTGCAAGAAAAATCTACCGTTGTTTCTGTGCATAACTCACATTTCTTCATATAATAGTCCAGTTGCTCTTCTTTAGGTTTTAGTGTGCTGTAAAATCGATACGCATTGCAAAAAAATACGAACAAATGATTTCTTGGAATGAGCGATGAATAATTCTCAATTAAAATATATTATTAAAACAAAAAACCAGACACGCGAGTCGGACTCGTGCACCATTATCCATAAAAAACAATATAATCAGGTTTATTGTTTTCATAGGAGTTGTTCAACATTTAAGAGTTAAATTAAGTGCTAAATTAAATTAAAGTAACGATTTGAAAATGGGAGTGAAAGTGCCTTAAACGAACTTTCATTCCCAATTTCATCTATTTACGTGCTTTTTTCGGGATAAGACATAAGATAGAAAATGCTGCAGCGGATTTTTTTTTAAGAACTTTTAAAGGGCATTAATTTCGTAATACATGATTTTTGCGTAAACTTCACCATTTATGCATCGTACGCAAAGAAAATTTTTAAAAATAAAATATTTTCAGTAGTTCCTGAGATTATAGAGTTCAACTAAACAAACTCTTTTCTTTATTATTAGTATAAATGTATTATATATCATTTGTATACTGCGAGTAATTTATTTTCAGCATTTCCTGATACTATCACACCAACAGAGATAATAAATTTACAGGAAAACAGTACTGTGGATCTTGTGTGTAATATTTCACATACGCGACTTGATTATATACGTTGGTATAAGGTATAAAATGTGATTTAACTTTTGAAAGAATTATATTCGGTTAACCTCTTCTAATAATATTTTTATTCTTCTAGGATAGAAAGCTAGTTTCTGAAGGAGAACTGACTTTGAGAAACGTTAAAATTTCCGATGCTGGAATTTACACTTGCCGTGTTAGCACATTCTCTGAATCAACATCAAAATCGACCAGACTTATAGTTGGATCTGCACCCACTTTTATAGGCGATACTGAATTAACAATAAATTATGAGGATAACATTCCAACTTTTTTGGACTGCGAGGCATTCGGAGAACCAACACCAGAGGTTGTGAAAATTTCAATAAAATTTATCCAAGTTTTGAGTTTATTACAAATAATGATGATTTCTTAAATAATTTTAGATCGTTTGGCTACAAAACGGTAAACAACTCGACTCTCGAAAAATGCTTTTAGAGTTTGAAATGACCTCGGATACTAGAGGACAATATCAATGTATAGTGAAAAACATTTATGGCACCATCAATAGAACTTTTGAAATTATATCAAGAGGTGATTTTAGTTTAGTTCCTGCGAGTAAATAATTTTCTGCTTAAGATACTTAAGTAATGACCTTTTATATTTTTAGAATGCTTTTTGAATATGGAAGAAGGTTTCATGACAACTCAACCTATTATGGTCGAACCACGCTTTTTGAGGGCCCCACAATTCGAAATAAGTAATGGTTTCGTACGAATTCCAACAGAGGAAAGTCTGTTGCTATATTGTCCTAGTGGATTTTCTAATATTCCTAGATCAGAGGTAATTGCAACGTGCGAGGGCGATATGAACTTCAATATAGAGGGAAGAACATTTAAATATTCCGAGCTTAATTGTCAAGAGGAAGTGACACCATTAATTAGAAGAACAGGATCTCAGTGCTCCTCTGAAAATACTGAAAAAGTTCTAGTTGGTTTCGAAATTCGTGGGGAATTTTTAGAAGTTTATGAAATTTGTATGGATAAAGCAACTAATACACCAGTTTATGCGAAAACTAAAATTCACAGATCAATTCCTGATGTAAGCTCAAAGAATGATTTTAAATGGTTTGGCGACGATTCATCTGAATTGAACTTCGATGATATATACGACTGTAATAGACAAATAAACGATATTTCGTCACGCCTCAGGAAATGGTTCCATTTTGAAGATAGATGTTGTTTTAAGAGTAGGAAGCTAGTGAATCCTAGAGATCTCATAGCAGGCATTTCGCAAAAAACTGCATACACTTATCTAAATGTTGTCCCGCAATGGAGCACATGTGGTACAGAGGTAATTAAAGTTTTGGTACATTTGAAAAAATACTAGTAATTGAATTTTTCAAATCATTATAATGTATTATTCCATAATATCATTAATTTGAGTATTGTGAATGCAAAAATTAAAAGAAAATCCCACTTTTGGAGTTTGAAATAATGTAACGGAAATAAATTGTTGTCACCTTTTTGTACGTCTTGATAAATAATTATATACCAATACTATGTTACAGAACTGGGATATTTTAGAAGATAAAATTAGAAACCTTGCTAAATCTTCGTACGATGATTTAGTAGTATGGACGGGTATTTCTGAACACCTTACTATAAACAATGCCGCCTCTATTGCCGAAAATATCAACCTTTTTGATGCAACCGGACATCAGCAAGCAGTACCACAATACTTGTGGAAAGTGAGTAAAAACTAAAACAAATAAAATATATAATTAGGCTTATCTAAATATATATATACGTATATATAATATTAATATTTTATGTTTTGAACTTATTCAATTCCATATGGACGAGTCACAACGACTTAAAAGATTAATTGTAAAGAATATAAACAAAGAAATTATTGCAGAATAACGCGAGGCTAATGCAATATAAAAACATCCGAATTTTAATAGAGGTATATACCACCGGATTGGGTTTAAAAGTTGTTTCATTTATAGATCGTATGCGTGAAGATATAAGAAATCAATAAGCAAATATAAAATATAAATATAATTATAAATAAAAATTGAGGCCAAGGCCTCGATTTTTGTTGATATAGGATCCATCCTATCTCAACAAAGGTCCCTGCATCATTAATGGATGGTCAGAATGACACGAAGAGCGCTGTTAGTTTGATTAGGACCTTTGAGTCTGCATATTAATAAAAACTAAATAAAATAGATAGGTTACGCAATGGCTAGTAAAAAAACATGGGGTATGTAATATGCCAGTGGCGAACTAATCTCATCGGAGGCTCGGGGCGGCAATATGAACTTTTTCCAACCAATACAGAAATTTGATATTGCTATTCCCCCCGCGCGTATATATTTTTAACTTTATTCTATTATAATTTTTCCGGGTACCTACAGCCCATTCGGAGACCCCCAGGACTGGAGGCCCGGGGTGGACCGCCCGCCCCTTCCACCCCCCTTAGTCCGCCACTGTTATATGTATAATGCGCATTATGATTCGCCATTATAATTCTAGCCTGGTAGTCTCATATAGTCTTTATGTAATCACTTTCCGTTACAATATTTAACATAGAAAAATAATAAAATTTGGGTATCAGTGGTTCATATTCACAACGAAGATGTTCTGATGTTTCGCTCTTGCTTATCTAAAGTTGAGATTGTATGAAAAATATAATTTCTTAGGTTGTGCAGAACCCAGCTACCAGGTCCTCTCTTGCAATAGTGCAGGTTAACATGCCAGATTTAACCATATCAGAAGCGTTTCGTCATATGTTGTGCCGGGACATATGTCGAGATATACCTTGGATGGCTGATCAGCTCACTTGGAGGGATCCAACTAAAGGATTCACCTTCTGTTGTAGTCTAGATGAGTTCGAAACCGCATTCCACTTGGAAAACCTCTTTGGAGATAATAGAAGAATTCTTCATATAGCTTCCTTACCTAAATTACGCTAATTAAATGTTGTAGAATTGAATCATCTTGTTTTTATTTCTTCACTTTTATAATAATGTATAACTACACTCTACAGTCTTACAATCTTAATAAGATAGCTCTCAACATTAATCAACCTAAGTTCTGTCCTTTGTCTTAACATTCTATTCTATAGTATTATAAAATATTTGTGCTCGGGATTGAATAAGATAATAAAGCTACAGCTTTATTCGGATTGTTCGCACCGCAGTAATCCTCTTTTAAATGAATCGAAACCCTGCAAACTTAATGGTAATATACATAGGTCAGATCATCATAAGTTATTAATATCCTTACTGCTGCGACATGAGCCTTCCCTTTGATGGAAATCAATTACGGTGCGGATTGGTGATTGTTAACGGGACATACCCATTTTGGTCATCAACCTTATGATCGGCTTTTGCCTAGCACACCGATCATATATTTATAATGTAATGATCTGGTAACGACAAGGTTTTTATAAATGTCGTTACTCCGATTAGAGTAGGTCAGTTTCATGCTCGTTCTTTTTATCAACCAAAAGAGGTCCTGAACGAGTGGTAGAGAAAATGTTGGACGATTCAAAAGTATTTAAAGAAGTTTATTTGAATATACGCATTTTGAATTTCACTTTGAACCTCTCGTGAAATAATTCGAAATCACTACAATGCATAAGTCACTTTTTAAACGTCTGAAGAAAAATAATAATATTCCGAAAAAAGGAGTTTATTGTTCAAAGTTTGACTAAAGTTTAGATCAAAAGTATGCTGAGGTATTTATTCAAAAATTGAAGAACCTTGTTAGATTTAAACAAATTGCAGATCATTGAAACAAAATTTCAACGATCTGAGAAACTAACATTTTGTTGGACAACACCACTTACATTACTTCAAAATTTAACAATCATTATTTTGAAATCGGAAACCTCTCTGCAGAAGTTGTGTGAGAACTAGATAATATTGATAACACAATTTCATGAGAATCGCTCGATAGAAATAAAAGTGAATGCAACATCCATGGATGCTTTCGCTAAGTACTTATTTACCATTCTTAGCGGTTTTATGTGCCCCTTACGTTAAAGTTCTACTCTAGTTGTATTGGGATAAATAAAATAAGCAATTCAAAATTGAATCTTAATTTAACAGATATAACTGTTAAATTAAGATTTAATTAGTGATATACATTTTTTAAGTTAAATCGAATTGAAAAGGATACACCAAATTTTTTTTATTTTTTAGAAAAACCCCATCTTAAAAAATCGGTACCAGTACTGACCTAATTAGTAGGAAGTAAAGGAAAGCTATCAGAGTCAACATTTATATTTGATTTTTAATAGACTGATAGAATTTCGTTTCACATAAAATGTTTCGCATTCCGCCAGAATGTAATCAATACGCCGAATAGTTATTTTTATGAAAATATATCATTGTCTTTTACTACAAATAATTTTTTCAATATTCACATCATACAATAACAAACCATATATTATCTATCATGGTTTGTTATTGTATGATGCAATAACAAACCATGCCATGTCACGGCGCAAATCATAGGTTGACATTTCGCCAAAAGAAGTCTATATTTACGAAAATCATTTCCTCAGAACCCCAAACCCGATCTGGTTGAGGAGTGTGACAGGTTCCTAGTGGCGAGACAGCAACACGTTGTATTATGCGGTCATCTGGGTATTAGCAAAGATTTATTCTTTTGTTTTAAAATAGATCTTTAAAAATATATTGATATCAAAGTTTGAATTTAAAAAATAAGTATAATTTAATATGACGTCATTCTCCTGCTTATCACGGGTCATACTCACTTGCATTAAGTAGGTAAGTTCAGATAACTATAACACTTTATTAATATAGGAAAAAACTCACAATTACTACAGAGCATAATTATTGTCACACGTGAACCGATCGGAAGTTTGCGAAAATGTTTTTCAAAAGTATCACCTTCGTATTATACAGTCTTCTTATACTAGTTAGTGTTAAAAGCGAGGATAAGATTAGTTTAACATTTGTCATAGATAATACCATGTCTATGCTAGATGACATTGAATCCGCGAAAGCTGCCGCTGCCCAAATATTCGATGCCATACTGGAAAATGGTTCTGCTATAATAAAGAACTATGTGTTGGTGACTTTCAATGATCCAGGTAAGTATTTACTATAAACGTGAGATGGCTAATATCACACTTTTTTCAATCTTCAATTTAATAAATAACGAATGTAAATGCTATCTAGCTCCTCTGATCAGGATCAGGATCTGTAATAGAAAAGGTATATTATGCTTTATAAATGACGCTTCTTTATTGAAAACAGTCAAAAGTCTTTTAAGACGCTATCAAAATGGAACATATGAAAATGATATTTATGTTGGCATTGTATTCATTTTGTTTTTAGTATTTTTTAATATTGTACAGTTTCTTGGGCCCATAATTTTTTCATCAAAACGAAGTCCTGAACATGTAGTTGAATAGTGAATGGTTTAAGACAGAGTTTTATTCGTGCTTCTGCTACTAATGTTATTAAAACACTTAATCTTAGACTGGTTGAATATGTCTTATCATTTTAGATCAGGTACTAATAATGAAATAATATTCAAGTACTCACAGTAACATATCAGGTTACTGAATAATGTAGTAATTCAGAAAACGACTTTGCACATAATAAAGTTTCTGGTTTTCTCGGTACAAGGTCTCCCGCCGTAGATTTACGAACCGATGGTATAGAGTTTCGACTTCAACAAGTGCTTGTAACAGCCAAGACTGAATAAATTATTTTTATTTGATTTTATTTGAATGGCCAATACTAATAACAAATTATAAAACATTTTTTTTCCAAATCTACTAACAAAACTCAAAAGAGGTAAAGATTCTAACTTTGTTTGTTTGTAGGAAATAAACTTTTGAAATACTGATCCGATCATAAAAATTGATCCACCTATGTAGCACATTTACAGGAAGCTACATCAAATACAAGCGATATGGGCTATAATATACGCAGGTGAAGTCGCGGAGAAACAACTAGTTATCAATATAATTCACCTTGTAGATATCGAGAGAAGAACTGTAACCACTAATGCTGATGAGTTTAAAACTAAATTAAATACTATAACTTTATATAATGAAAAAAACTACGATTGTCCTGAAATGGCTTTGACTGGTGTAAAAGCCGCATTGGAGGATAGTTCACCACATTCGTTTTTGTATGTATTCACCGATGCTGGTGCTAAAGATCGTCAGCTGACAGATAAAGTTAGGAACTTGGCAGTCACAAAACAATGTCAGGTAAGGAAAAGAAAATATTATAAAAACCGAAACTAATTTGTACATACAAAGTACATATTTAGAAAGCATCATGAGCATTGTTGAATGCCGTTGATGTCCGTATATTATCTATTTTTGTAAATACTATCATTATAAGACTAATGATAACTTCTGATATTAATAAATAATTTATAACTCGAAGTCATAAAATAATATTATTAATGTCATTGTTGATTAAACCACTGTTTTGCAGATTGTTTTTATAATAACTGGTACTTGTAAAGGGAAAGTTGATAGTACATATTACACATTAGCTAAAGCGACTAATGGACATGTTTTCAAAAGTAGTAAAGATGACGTCAAAAAGGTAACTGAACAGTTGTGCAGTATTACGATATTTTCATTTCATAAGTTAAACTCATATCACTTCTTTACGTTATATTTTAGTTCAGAAATAATACTCTTCTTTCTTCCTATCCTATATTCAATTCCGATCAGCGTAGTACGTTCGTTTCTCTAATATTGGATTAGCATCAGTCCGCTGCTGTTTGTCTTGTCAATTTATCTTTTTTTGTATTTTTATGTATATTAATAATTATTTCATTCTTCAAAATATTGGCAGATTTTAAATTTTGCTACGGAATCTGTAAAAACTAAGAGAACTTATGTTGCATCGGCAGTTTTTCCACCTGGATATGGAAACAAAATGAACGTAAGTAAAACTTAATATACAGTGTTTGTTTTTTTCAAATATGAAACTAATCAGTATTTTTATATTAGGCAATTCTGAAGCTCAATGGCGTAATATAATAGTTAACATGTTCTGTCTGCAATCAAGCAACTTTCCCAGGAACCGGGCATAGGATAGGGTGACCAAATACTCGTTATCTCGAGCTGCTGCATGCTTCAGAAGGCATGTTAACTTAGTTTTCCCGGCTGCATCTACAATCAATAAGACCAACCCGCACTGAGCCCATAGGCTGGGCTGGCCTGTTCACTAACAGTGGGAACATTAATAGATGAATGATTGCTATTTAGAAACTGGACTTGGATTTATTGTTTTATTCAATGATATTTGTTTAACCAGGTCAGCACCGACCCTACAATGGATGATTTACTTCTTGCCATAAGTGGTGATGATGCTAAGTTTGAAGTATCCAAGCCAGATGGAAAGAAAGCTGACACAGAAACAATTGTAGACGTACCTGATTCAAAAGTAGGTGTTATTTTATTTTAAGTGACTTCAAATAAAGCATTAAGTGTTCCGAAATATTGAATTATAATAGCTACAGGAGTGACTGACTTACTTTTTATATGAGTTTCATTTACCATTGATTGGTGAATGTTTGATATAGACTGTAATAACAGCAAAATCATTATTGATTTGGGTATTCACATAAGAAGTATTTTTTTATTACGAATTTAGGTGTTTCCTTGTACAATATTAAATTATAGTGAAATAACTTTTTACTTATAAAAAATGAGTGAGTCCAGCTATTTAAAATTATGTTCTTATAGGAATAAACGACATCTTATTTCAAATACTAATATTATAAAATGAAAAGATTTGTTTGTTTGCTTGCATTTAATTTATATAATATGAATATTTGTATGTCTGTACGGTATTGTCTTAATATATAATTATGTATGTATTTTAATTATATCTGTATGTTTATTCTATATTATTGTCACTGCCTTACAATTTTTTTGTATATCCTCACCGGATGTGCATCAAGTCCGCAATTTTCTATAATTTGGCGATAAAGATTAAACAAACTAATACTCACCAAAACTACTGAATCGATTTTTAAAATTCTTTCACGCAAATTTCCTAAAAACAGTTAATGTATCGTAAACTAACTAATGATAACAATAATTTTTAAGGTGGTCAAAGTAAATGTAACCGAACCTGGTGAATATGAAATTACAGCTGGAAGCAAATCGGATACTTCTGTACTTGTTGAAACTGATAGCAACTTGGACTTCTATCATGGTTTCTCAATAACTAAACCTTTCTCTATAGTAGGGACATCTATATTGCCTTTGCCAGGTCGGTAAAATATTTTATTCTTTTATAACATTATTATCAGTACAGTAAATTGAATTGGTTTGTAGAATCCCCACTGATATATCTTAGAAAATTGTTATTTATCCACTGACTATAAAACCAACCATTATTATTCAAGGACTTGACATAAATTTAATAAAATTTTAAAGTACAATTTCAATTCTTATTTTTGGCCATAAGTCTTCCTTCAGCGTTGCTAACACTTCTTTAACTCTTAAATTGATGTTATTGGTGCCATGTACTGGATCGCAAACCGCTCTTTGAAACTTCAGTGTCCATAAGAGCATCGAAGATTTTTCGTTTATTTTTGGTCTTTTTTACATTTTCAGGTATAAAATCTTATTTAGGTATCAACGTTATATCACTTGATGACATTAAATTGGAGAGTGTAGAATTGTCGGATCTGGATGATAATTTTATTAAAGAATTACCTTTAGAGAGTTTAAGTGGCAAAGCATTTTACTTTACTGAAAGTTTCTTACCGCCAAATGGTCTATTTAAATTAACGGTAAGAATGATTCCTTAAGAACTATTTTCTTTGTAGATCAATAAATATAATACTTTATAAAAAGTGCTTTTATATTTAAAGACAAATGTCAACAAAAATACTTTAATAATGTTTTCTTTTTCAATTTATTTCAATACGCTGTGATTTTTGTATTTTGCTCATTAGTATATATTATTTCAAATATTTTTATGGTTATCTTTTATTCACGGTGCTATGTAGACCGCAAGTCGTAAATTGATTTTCAAAATTCTGTTTCATTAGACAGATAAAAGGCCTGTTTTTTTTTCTAAAATTACCTATATGTATATGTCAATAAAGAGACTTAGTTTACCCATTCTTGACGTTGACTTTTTTTAAGAAATTATTACACTTAATTATTTATTATCTTTTATCAAATTTACTATTCTTATGTACTTAGTTTCAACCATACCAATAAATATTTTTCAGATAAACGGATTACATACTAAAACTAATGCAAAAATCCGAAGAACGAGCTCAACTCCCATTGAAGTACAAAATGTAGAATTTGGTAATTATGGTAGATGATAATTAACTAAATTGGCATGCGTACATGCCAATTGGAGCTTCTAGATCTCGATGTTGACGTATATTCAATGTTTTGGATTTCTATTATATAAAAATTTTCTTAATACTGTTACAGTTACAAAAGAAAATAAGTCGCCAACATTGGTTATTGACAAAGGCCTTCATATTATAGCGGAGTATGGACAACCTTTAGTTATAAGCTGTAATGTTAACGCATACCCAGCACCTAATATTACGTGGTATGATGCAGCGGACAATATTATTGGAGATAAAGTGAGTGAAAAACGCTTACAATAGCAAAACTTTTCTTAAGTATGGGTTGATCAAGGATAGTAGAAAGAAATGACCAAAATTCCATGCTTTGGAAAACACGTTAAGCCACGTCTGTAGACGTTAGAACCCACCAATCCATACTGAGCTGAATAGTAGGATACTATTATCAAATCAAGAGATTCAATAATTTCGACTAACCTTGACCCCTGACTCTTGGAAGTGAATGGCACCAGTACTAGTATCACGCACGGACCTCAGTATGGTAACCTCTCCAAGGAGAGATGAGGTCCCTCCTCGCCAGGTACAGTCATGCCTACATTTCCGTGATATGGGACTGCCGGGGGGTAATCTTTTACAGCAGGAGTGAAGTTAATGAAATATGACGAGGCGAAACGTGACGCACCTGAAACGAACAAAGCAATGTCACTTGACCAAAATAAATGAAAAATCTCAAATCTACCCTCTTAAAAATAGACAAGATTTCAACATATAGGTAGTATAATGATATACTCATTTGCTTTCAGGTGATAACCGTAGAATTGCCCTATAACTATAAAAACAACATAGAAATTCTTAAAGTTGACAAAAATACTACATACAAATGTGAAGCTAGTAATTCTTATGGGAAATCACAGCAAATAGTCATGATTGAAGCTAAACGGAAATATTATTTTAATGTGTCAGTACGTCCTACAGGTAAATAATTAATTTAATGTCACCCCATTGGGTCATTGGTCCATTGACCATAAATGTTAAAAATCCATGATACCTTTTTTAAGAATATTTTTAACTTAAGTATTAAATGATACTTAATTCCATAATTTATTTCGCAGATATGAAAATAGAACACAGAAAAAATGAAAAAATATTTTGTATTATCGATTCATATCCGCCATCAACAATTATTTGGTACAAACAAGATAAACAAGTGAAAGTTGATGATAATATAGATATAATTGAAAATGGTACTGCTCTATACATCAAACAAATGAAACCTCAATTGAATGGAATATATTCTTGCAAAGCACAAAACGGCGTCAACTCAACAGCATTATATTTTAAAATCATCATTGTCGGAGTTGGTAATGTTAAAATACCATAAGATTAAAATATAAATTTTATTACAATGAGATTAATCAAACTTGTTTTTGATATAGCTCCCAAAGTGACAATAACAGATGAAGATAAAATACAAATTAAGTATAATGAACCAATAAATTTAGAATGCAAAGTGACTGGATTTCCCGAGCCAAAAATTATTTGGAAAGAAATAAATACTGGCGATGTTGTATCATCAACGACGGTAAATTTAACTACTTTAATTAATAATACTAGATAGTTATACCACATCATATTTGGTAGGATTTGCAAAAAGGTATATAATATTATACTGGATATTTTACAACAATATTCTTCAATTAATTATGACTATAGTAATAGACTTTTTGCAATAAAGTATTCTCCAGTTTTGGCACACTTTCAAAGCACCGAGGCATATGTTTTATCTCCAATATAGACAATATGAAAAAAAAAGAATAGGGCCATCAAAATCTCTTACATCTGCTGTGACTAATGCTTATATACATTCTATCATTGCATTAATTCGGGTAATTAACTATAGTTGTCTTAAGTTGCGAATACAAATATATTCACGACATATCTCTTTATTTTACCAGTTACCCAGTGTCGACAAAGAAAATGACTATGTTAATATACTCCATATTAATCATATCAAGAAGAATTCTACTTACCAATGTTTAGCAGATAACGATAAGGGTGAAGACAGTAAAAATATTAAAATTGAAGTAAAAATACACATTGATATAATAAACAAACCAAAAGGTAATTGTGAAGCTTCCATCTTTTTTGATAAATATGAATTAGAGTTGGTTTTTCAAGCATTTTTCTTTAAGATATAATGATAGATAATCATTGAACACTCTTTTTGACGTTTTCAAATAAACGACAAAATTTACTGATATAACAATTTAAAAAAAGAATAGTAAAATAAGAGTAAGTAGGTAGGTAGATTTTACGAAATCATCACTTTTTAAGTCGATTTTATTATAAATCTATGCTAATATTTGCCAAATAAAAATAATTATATTAAAATAAACATGTTATCAATTGTTTAGCACAAAAATCAACTATAATAATTAGCTCAATTGAAAAATAATCGGAATCATGACACATGTTTATTGGATTAACTATTTAACATCAATAATATATTAAAAAATGGGTTTTCATAAAATCTAAAATGATCAAAAGCCATCTTTTAATTGCATTTGTTTTGTTATGTGCGTTTATATACTCTTGATGCGTTTTTATATGAGAACTTAAGTGGAAGTACAGGAGAGCCTTAACATCCTATTAGATATCCTGCTGACTGCGTCATTATTTTCTACCGAATAATTTAACTTCTGTATCTAAAAAACTAATAATACTCAACACATGAATCAGATATTTCTAGTGAATTCTAGATTCAAATATACGTGGAAAAGTAAGTGAAAAGGGTTGGGTTGAGCAATTTCAAACCGCGTTAAAAATATTTTTTCATGTCGCAATAATTTTAGTTACAGTTAACAGGCAGACAAATAAAATAAAAATGTTCCGGTAGCGCTCTTCAAGCACAAGATTCAAAAATGATGTCTAGAACATAAAAGTTAATAACTTTTAGTTACCTTTAACTAACAACGTTTCAATAAATTATGAAACATTTTTAATGAAAATAAAAAAACATTTATAGTTACATTAATATTAAAAAACCGAAATGTAAATTAAAATTCATTTATTAGTCTTGGAAAGCCAACGGCTATTCAAATATCATAGATTACAAGCATAATAAACAATGAGCCGTGTATAGTATTATATATATATTAGAATGATATTTTTTTTAGATTTAAATATCGAATTTAAAAAAGATGGCAGTGTGAAATGTAAAGTAGATGCTAATCCACCAGCCACTCTAAAATGGTACAAAAATGGTTCAAGATTACGATCAGACGATTATCTCGATGTGACGTACGCAAGTGATGGATCCAGCACACTAATGATTGCAGAAATGAAACCTCATTTAGTTGGCAACTATACATGTAAAGCAGAAAATGAGTTTCAATCAAAAGAACTAAAATTCAGTATTATGATTACTGGAGTTGGTAAAGTACAATATATTGTTCAAAATGCAATGATAATATCACTAGTTAAGACTGATATAGGTGCTTTTAACCATTCTAGCTTATATTTAACCAATTTTTTCTTCAATCATTTTTATAAAACACAATACTTGATAGCTTTGTGAAAGCAAAATGTAAAATATACATGATAGGGAGTATAAAGGGTAGAACTATCTTAAAAAACCCCAATGCCAATGTTAAGTGGCACATTCTAGGGCTGTCCGAAGTCGGAAGATAGAGAGAGGACACCCTGTCCCTGGAATCTGGTCGCATTTTCTACTTCCGAGAGGAAGATCATCTATCCCAGGGTGGCGTAAGCTTTTTTGTCAACAAAGTTCTCTGCCACAATGTGTTGGAGATCAACAGAGTATCGAATAGAGTAGCGTACCTAATACTGAAACTAAATGAGAGTTACGCTCTTAAGATTGTACACGTATTATAAGCCAACATCGATACACTCGGACGATGAGGTCGATGCTCTATACGAAGATACATACCACCAGCCCTTTTACGTCCCCACTGCAGGGGCTCAGGCCTTCCTTATGGATGGTTAAGGAGGATGGGCCATGACCCTCCACGCTGGCCCAATGCGGATTGGAGGGTATTAACGACTGCAAATGCAGCCGGGACCAACGGCTTAACGTGCCTTCCGAAGCACGGAGTAGCTCGAGATAATAATTTTTTGGTCACCCATCCCGTGACCGACCCTTGCGAAAGTTGCTTAACGACTACGATCGCGGGCCGCGGCGCTTATCCACTACGCCAGCGAGCACCTCACGCCACCGAGCTACTCCATACATACTACCTCCAAAACCCACTTCACCGATGTCATTGGGGACTTCAATGCCAAAATGAGAGTACGAGAAAATGGCGAATTACGTATAGGACCATATAGGTTTGGACACAGGAACCACATGGGGCAAATACTAGTCAACTTCCTCAACAAGGAGGGGGTGTTCTGTATGAATTTTTTTTAAAAAGAAGCTTCAAAGGATGTGAACTTGGCAAAGTCCCGATGGTAAGACGAAGGACGAAATAGAATTTATCATGACAGACAATAATGATATAAGAATGGTGGCGTCATATACGCGATCACTCAATAACCACATCTGAAAATAGATTAGGCATGACCTCCGTAGTTTCGATAGCTTGACTATTGAGCAAAATCGAGAGTCAAAAGACTTAGAAGAACTCATTTGACAAAACTCAAAACCTCGGATAACAGGATCGTCACATCAGTTCCAGAGATTCTCGTTGAGTCTGAAGACTTTTATGGCCGATTTTCCCACAGCTACATTTACGAGACATTTCGCTGAAGATCTCCCAGACATTGACGAAATTTCGGTGGCTCTCAAATAACTTGGAAATGGGAAAGCTCCTAGCGAATACTTAACTACTTCTGAGCTCCTTATGATTGCAGAGGCATCTGTGCATGGAGAACTAAAGAAGCACTTTAATTCTGTCACAACTTTTGGGACTACCCGGAGGCGTAGAGGTGTGGTGGCTCTGTTCTTCAAGAAAAGAGATAAATGTGTATTGAAAAACTACACATTTATCTCTTTTCTCCGATCGACCGTCCGATATTTGTATGTACAGACCAATCACACTTCAGCGCCACATATATAAGTTGTTCTCGAGAGTCATTATAAATCATCTTGCTGCAAAATTAGACACCTTCGCCCTTCAGATACTATAGTTTCGGAAAGACTACAGCATCGTAGATCACATATACACAATAAAGCAAGTTATGCAGAAGTCTAAGGAGTATAACCAACCACTGTGCCTAGTTTTTGTGGACTACGAGAAGGCTTTTTTTTCCACCATCAAGGCCAGGGCTGTTCTGAAATCCCTGCACTGATGCCAAGTCGATTGTAGTTACGTAGAAGTACTTAAAAGCCTATACAATACAGCATCAATGACAATAAAAGTACAAAATCGCCAGACAAGACCCATTGAGTAGCTTACAAGTGTAAGGCGGGGAGATGTTATCCCTGAAATTGGTCACTAACGCACTGGAGGATGTCTTCGAGAACCTGAATTGCAATGGACTCCCACAATTGCGTTTCGCTGATGACATTATCGCTATGACATGATCGTTGCACGATTATCAAAAAATACTGCACAGTCTCAAGATTGTCTCATGACTTGTGGGTTCCGGGATGAATTTGGATAAAACTAGAATCATGTTCAACACACAAGTCGTCACAGAACCCGTTTTTGTATAGGAATACATCTATCTTGGGCAAATACTGCGGTTAGATAAAGATAACTTCGAGCGAGAAATGAGCAGGAGAGTGCAGCTGGGCTGAGCAGCATTTGGGATTTTGTCCGCACTGCTATTATACCTGAAGAGCCGGGTATTCAATCAATGCGTCTTACCAGTCATGACCTATCGAGCCGAAACGTGGAACATGACAGGGAAGCCGGCCAACCGACCACATGTCGCTAAGCGAGCTTTAAAAAAGCCTATGCTCAAAAAGGTCATCCGGTAAAAGAATAAAATTGTGAATAAAAACTTTTGCCAAAGATATTACAAATCATAAGTTTATTTCGTACTTCAATAAACATGTCAGCTATTAGTTCCATCTGCAGTTGCAACACCTCCATTTCGCGCAACTGTTACAAATGCACTGTTGTACTTCTATATATATTCGTATAAATAATCTACAGGTATGTTTTTTGTCTAGCTCCAAAGACATCAATCGAAGGAACACCTAAAATTAACGCAGAATATGATAAATCGCTTAAGATACTTTGCAAAGCGTCTGGATATCCTGAACCAGACATAGTATGGATAAATAATGATACTGGTAAAGAATTTCTTTCTACGGTGAGTTTGATGACATTGTATTCGCGAGTTTGCCTCTGGTTACATAGTGGCGTAAACAATTATATTGTACGAATGCCAGGCTATGCGGCAATTGTGTTATCAGAAGCAAAATGCTTCTGATATAGCAAAAATCATTGAATTTTGTTTTTAATCGAGTATATTATATTCTTTTTAATATTAAATAAAGCCCATCAAACATTTGGCATTTTTAATTTAATGATAATATATTTAAGTATGAATCCATATAAAATAAAAAAGTAAAACCACAGTTGTCAATTCTTGTCAATACAAGGGATCAGCTAGAGATTTTTCAACAGACGGCATAACTTTCACAAGTTACTGATGACAACCTAGGCTTTTTATTTTATTACTTAATTACACTGTTAATTCTAATTATCGTAATCTGTTCGTTTAAGCTTTTTCCAGTTGATCCACCTTTTGATTATGGACACATTTTACTAATCGATAAGGTGAATAAAAATGAAACATTCATATGTAAAGCGAAGAACTCGCTTGGAGAACACAGTACTAATATTCAGGTAGAAACCGTGAAAAAAACATTTTTTGACATCTTAGAAGCACCTAAAGGTAAGTTGTTTTATATTTTACATACTGAATCCAGCCTTGAATATTTAAAGTATTTTTAACACACATATACAATAGTTCAAATATTGAAATAACAAAAGAGGCTTATATTTGAACTCTTAGAAATTAACTAGAAGTCGAATACCTAAGGAATTCAAGCAAACGACCAGATTCGATTACTTGAGTTTAAGATTTCACTTAAGACTCCTGAATAATTAAAATAAATCTACTATATTGTGTTGCAGATACTAAAATTAAATACAAAGAAAACGGCCAGGCGTTTTGCAAAGTATCTGCTAATCCAAAAGCAGATATAACATGGTACAGAGATGGCAAACCACTTAAAAATAATACAAATATACACATATCATCTGATCTTTCAGTACTCAGTATAACAGATATGCAACCTGAATTACAGGGACGCTTCACTTGTAGACCTAAAAATAAAAATAATTCTACTCTCATCCATTTCAATCTTCTAATCACTGGTTTAAGTAAGTATTTATATACACGAACTATGATAGTTTTACTGACCTTGTGTTATTCCCTGGTTATAAAGTCAAGATAATCTTAACGATAAAAAAACGTTGAAATTCTAAATCATTTCTTTTGCTACACAAACTAGTAAATGTTTACATCAATAAAACTCCAATTGTTTATTTTCAGCATTACCGGTCATCGACAAATCTTTGTCTTTCAAATTTTTAAATGTCTTAGAAGGTTCTGAAGCCAGCATTAAATGTCTGTAAGTTAACTGACGAACCATATAATTAAATTATAAACCTACACTGCTATATTTTAATTGTTAAAATTATAAGTTGTTATATCTGTCGCTTGATCATTTTTGCTAGTGAAGCAACAGACTTCATTTAATTGATTCTCTAACTTTCCCCATGTTTTACTGACGTCAGTTTCTGTTTCTAGTTCCGCAGCTTTTATAATGGAAATTAAACGGAACATTACGACGCACATTTTGTTTGGAAACTTGTTTGTTTTTTATTGGATGCGCGCGGAAGGGCAAGAATGATTCCGGCGTGCGTAAGATGGGCGCATTCAACACTTGTTCTGATTTGTCGCTACATGTTTAATAATTTGTTATAAAAATAATAAAAATTTTAAGTGATATAAAGAATAATACGTTTGATATTATATTTTTCATGCTTTTTACACTTCCATTTCCGCATCCGTTTCTGCTTAAATTTTATTTTGACTTGTAGTTCTGTTTCTGTTTCTTTTAAGTAGCTTCCGTTTTATCACTAATCTTTACATCTACTAAGTTATTTATTACGAAGGTTACGAAGAATCTCTGTCCAAAGAGAGAGAAAAAATACTGAGTGATAACCACAATCACTTGTCTACAGAATACTCCGTGGTGATCCAGTTCCGACTGTAACTTGGCGATTCAGGCCGGATGATGAGACGAGATTTACGGAACTGGATGAAAACGGAACTGAAATTAATTATGAAAAAGTTAGTCGGCATCGTTCCGGTGTCTACAAATGTGCAGCTACAAATGCGGCAGGCTCGGACTATTTCTCTATTGCTTTGACTGTTGAATGTAAGAAAACTCAATTTATAGAAAGTATCAATTATATTAAAGGCAATATGTCTTCAATATCGGGTATACTATTTTTGTGTGACGATCGTCATTCTTTTTGGTTTTATAATTAATTAACATTTACAGATGCACCCTCAATAGCCAAAACGAATAAAAAATCTGTAACACTAAAACAAGGTGATAAAAATGAAATCTTGAAATGCGAAGTGAGAGGTATTCCAAAACCGGACGTGGAATGGCTGTTGAATGATACGCCTATAATTACTTCTGAATATCAGGTCTTCAAAGACAATAGTATTTCGTAAGTTTTATATATACTGTAATCTGGAAGTTAAAATGCCTGCACCAGTGGATTCACATAGATTTTAACTCAGGAGTGATCTTCTTTTGAAAAAAGTAACAATGAAAAATACTTCAAGTACTTTAGTGAATACTGTAAGATCTGCAATAGTAGCGGAATGACATTAATTTCTATTGCATTATTCCAACAACACAATGTCCAAAATTCTTTTTCTTTGTCAACTCCTTCGATACATAAATAAAATCTGAACGAAATCGCTAATCAGCTGTAAGGCCGTCTATTGCACTAATGTCAATGTCTTTTCATTTATTATGTGTATATTTTACTTTGTTGTGCAATAAAGTGTACAAATAAATAAATAAAATCGTGTTACTTAACTTTTTTTACAGGATTCATCCTTCATTAAAAAGTGATGGAAAATTTACATGCTTGGCGAAAAACGAACATGGCCAAGCAAACATAACAATAGAAGTTAATTATGTTGGTGAGAACAGATCATATATTTTTCTAGAACCCATCCACATATTATTACCTAAAACTAGAGACTATGAATAATAAAAAAAATGAAATAAAACAATAACTACAGATGGAAAATCTAAGAAATCGTGTTTTGAATTGTAAACTATTTTTTAATATTACAGCTCCGGTAGAAATAAATCCTCCTGGACAGTCAAAATTAGAGGTTTTAGAAGGTAGATCAGTACATATGTCATGTGAAGCAGACGGTTATCCACGCCCAACAATTCAATGGATGTACCTAGATACCAACGCGACGTCATCTCCTAAATTGTTGAAGTATATATTTTTTTTTCCTAAAACCGATTACAACGCTGGTATGAAATCAAACAAAACAGAAGCTCCGTTTACAGTAATTTTTTGGTAGTCACACTATATCTTGAGTGTATACTTTAGTCATGATAAAAGTAGAGTACACTTATATCTATGTGTGTTGATTTAATATCTACTCTTTTGTATTTTTCAGTAGGAGATAATGTAGTTAAAACAATAGAATATAACGAAATATCAAGTGTTTAATGACATATGCGCACTTCGATCGTATTATTAGATCATCTAATGTAGACAAGACTTAAGCCTACCCCCTATTTATTACTATATAATAGTTAAATTTGTAGTTAGTAGTTAATTATTAAAACTATATATAACCTTCGCCTTCGTTGTTTTTCCTTTGAACCATCGTCCACCAAGTGGTTGTTGGTCTTCCACGTGTCTGCGTTGTCTATACCCACGACTTAATTATAAACAGTACTCCAGTAACAATTATAGACAGGAATTATGCAATGTACCATATTTTGAAGAGTTTCTCATATTTCGACGCTGTTGCAAGCACCATGAATGTGAATTAACATGACATTTGATACAGTAAAAAACATTTTGACCACCATTTTTACAGATATGCCGTGTCACCAGATATATTGGTCATCACATCAGCAGCATTCGAAAGAGCTGGCTACTATATATGCCATGCTAGTAATGGGAGAACTTCAGCTAATATGACCTATGAGGTCATCGTCTCTGGTAATTAGTTTTGAAAATATAAACATATTTATAAGTTGAGGGCTTTATATACTGTAACTTTTTCATTTTCACTAGTATTTATTAGCAACTAAACTATATTAGATTATTCGTCTATATAATTGACCATCTGAATAAAGAGTATTTCATACGACCTGAAAATAACTTTAACGTTTAAATTGTTTTAGCTCCCCCTAAAATTGTAGAAACTTCTAGTATTTTGTCGGCAGAAGAAAGAAGTTCAGATACATCAATAACTCCAATGATCACATTGACGGCAGTAAAAGGAGATTTGGTTTTGAGGTTACCATGTAAGGCGACAGGATGGCCTATTCCTGAAATACGATGGACCCAGAATGATTATCTCATTGCATCAGGTGTGTATTCCTTTTATACTCCTTATGTAGAGGATAATTTTTTTTTGAAGACGCTAAAAATCGCTAAATGTGTGGTAAAGTGAAGAACAATTGGACCAATTAGGTTATTTTTTTTATATATGGTGAAATTTCTTGAACTGTTGATGCAAAATATAAAAAAAAATGTAAAAATAACTCTTTTATGTTTCTTAAAGAAAAATGCTTATAAAATCCACTTTGTCTCAGGCACTCTGGGATAGGACTCAAACCCACGCCCTTTCGCAATCCGAGCATTTTTTTAAGAACATTTTTCAGTATAGCATTGTGATTACAAAATTGAGCAAATATAATAAACTCTTTTATTTTGGCAAACAGAATCTTACAAAATTTTCCGGGTCAGCTAAAGTAATTGATGGAATAGAATCACAAGAATTTCAATAATCTTAAACTTAACTTTTTAAAATACACATATAGCGTCTTGCTGTAGTTAGTCGAATTGTATATTTTTCCCTTAGGTACAGAATGGTATGACATTGCCGATGATGGTACTCTTATGATAAAGAATGTAAACGAAGGAGGCGAGTATACATGTACAGCGGTTAATAAGCTTGGCTCCGATGTGGTTTCATACAATATTATTCTGGATGGTAAGTCTGCATTGTTATATTGGTCAATAATTTATTTCTGGGCATACAATTACTAATCAAGCCAAGAACATGTTAACCTAGATCGCTATTAGTAGATAGATAGATAATATATTTATTTGCATTATTAAAATAGCACACATGCATTATAAAATTCTAATACAATAAAAAAAAAATACAATAAAAAAAATTAGCTTTAACATGTGCGCCACAACAATGCAAAAGGGTAAAAGCTCAACGATTCCTTTGCTCAAGGAGCAAAGCGCTGAATTTCAGCCTTTACCCAGTGTGCTAGCACGATCTTATCATGTGTTATGACCTGTTTCTACATCCCAGAAATAGTTGTTGTTCGTAGTAGGACCAGACCAGTAATCTGGAGAAATGCTTGTAGGATAATATTTGGATACCTGACTTTGATATTCACTGTTAGTAATGTGCTACTGTGATTAATACCTTATTTTTACCTAATCCTAGATATTCCAGTGCTATTGTAAGCGCCGTGGTCACTATCAAATATCGAAGACTCAACAAAAATATAGTATCCAACTACATGTTTGCAATCCCGTATATTAATGTTAATCTAATCTTAAGGACCATGAAAGTTTAAACATCACGTCACATTGGATCATCATTCACGTGGATTACTGTGTTTTTGTTTGGTATCCCTATTATCAAAACAGTATGCAACGTATAGAAAGAATTCAAAATAAGTTCGTTAACAGAATTTCGTTCATCAGTGGCACTTACCGTAGCATCAGAGGCTATTCCGAGAGGTTGGATCAGTTCAATATGCTTTCTTCACGGCAACGTAAAGAACAGCTGTCACTATTTTTTGTATACAAATTACTAAACCATGGAGTGGATGTTCCGTCTCTCTTAACACAAATTAATATATTAGGTCCTAGAGTTGCGGCTCGATTGCACAATTATAAACCCTTTTCTATTAATTTAAGAAAAAATAATTATGGCAGTTACTCACCTATTTGTTCGATGTTGGCTAAATTTAATTACATATTTAAGAGTACTGATGTAGACATTTTTTGTGGGGGTCTAGCTAATTTCAAAAAGACTATTTTGCAAGGTTGTAAGGAGTATTTTTAGTTTTTAATTCTTAGTTTTCTCATTGTTTTCTTGAAATTGTATTATATGTATAAGAATGTTGTGCATACCTATAATTTAAGTATATATATGATATGTAGTGAATAGTATGTCTATTATGTATTTAGTTGGTAAGCCTTTTTAAAAAAAAAATAAAAAAAAAAAATGTATTAATGAGGTTTTACGGATGCAAAGTTTTTCATAATTACAATGAAACTTTTTAGAGGCTGCAACACCAGAGACACCTTCGCGCACGCTATCACTGAATAATGGCGACACGGTCGCAGTAATGTGCGACTTGCCACATCTACCTGTTGATCAGCTGAGGTGGTATAAGGTATAAAAAAATTGAAGAAAGTTCTTGTTATAAATTTAAATAAACAAAAATTTGGAAAAATTATATCGTTCAAATCATTTCTTCATTTGAATGTTTAGTTTAATTAGTTCTTGACAGTACTTTTCCATTTTGTGAATAACAGTATTTTTTTTGCATTTTTCAGGATGGAAAATTGTTAGTGAATGGTGAACTCAGACTTACAAACGTTAGTTGGTTAGATGAAGGTCTGTACACTTGTCGAGTAAGCACACTAGCTGGCTCACATTCAAGCACTGTTGATATCAAAGTTAATTTATAAGAAGACAAGAAACCATGTGATATTTCAAAGGAGTGCACTGAATATTTTTATCGCACTAATGCTTGCAAGTTCAAATAAACATAGGAAGAGTAAATCGATTATAATTCAATAGTAATGCTGAGAATTGAACTTCAAATTTTGATTAGGCACGATTAGAAATGTATATGTCTTATGACGTCACAACGGGAGCATTAAATTCCGATATGTTACTAAGTAAATAATAAGAAATAGTCATACATTTGTAATGTTGTATAAATAAATAAAAAAGAAAACTAAACCGAAATCCTTTTGAAAATAGTGACCAATGTTATATTTTCCAGCAACGGCTGACATATATATATTTAAAGAATAAGGTTCGGGGCGAATTTGATAAAAGATCCGTTAAGCGTCTCATAGAGGTATGCGTTAGTCCTACGCGACGGATCTTTCTTCAAACGTGACTTTGTTAATATCTTCATGTATGCCACTTCTGATGTAGACATTATTGTCATTGACATGATTTCTATCATGTAAGTCCTGTGTTTTGTAAGTCCTATTTATTGCGATGCCTTATTACGAGAAAACATTACGATTCCTTCACTAAAAAAAGTTGTGTTCATAATCTTAACACAAGAAATAAAAATAAACTTGCCGTTCCAAGCTTCAGACTTGAATGTCATTACTTATGATAAAGAGCTGGTAAGTTTCTTTCGCTTGTTCTTCTTGTCAGCTAAAAGACGTCCTGAACAAGTTGTAGGAGAAAAAAAAATTTTTGGACGATTCAAAAGTGCTTGTAATGGCCTACTTGAATAAAGATATTTTCATTTCATTGCATAAACTTTAGAAGACAAGGAAGCCCACCCTTCGGTACGTCTTTGTGTACAGGAGGCGAAGCCCTTTTTCTCCTGAATCACACCTGGGGTCGGATCTCCTCGTCCGCTTCTTATGCTGTGCAAGATTAGATAACCTTAGTGATTATGATGGCAATAAAAACTGAAAAGTAGTGTCAAAACTAGCTTCGACTTTGGCGTTACATCTTTGTTATGCATTACACAAATTTTACTTGTGCTATTTTTGTGTAACTATATTGAATATTTTATATTGTCTAGTATTTATTCAAGTAAAATGTTATTCTTTATCAAATATAATATTAATCGATATCTAACGATGTTAGTTAATTTTCTTGGGTTATTAATTAGACACAGTATAAAAACAACTGTATAATATCGTTTTAATTGTTGCTTTCAATGGCAATCAGAAGATACTAAAAATCTCAAACGTTAAAAACAAATGTTTTCACATATAAACAACCATTATTTATGGCGGGGTTAAAATCACCTCACGCGTGTTACTCGACCTTGAACCTTATTCATAGGAACCATAATATTATACGAACAATTAAGTATTGAACGGCAACTTTCAAAACATTGGTCCGAAACGAAAATTATATATTGAAGGCTGTGGCAATGACATAATGAATGAAACAATAACAATATTATTATGATAATATGTAATCTTCACGAGATTATCTAAATATGTCTTAAATGTTGTGTCTTTTTCATTTGTGTTTATAACTTTACTGGTTAAGCTCGGTCACGTTTCGCTATGGTTCATTATATAATATTTTCCTGGGAACTTTGAAGTTTTAAGGAAATATTAAACGTATAGCTAGTTGTATATATTCTAGTGACTGACTCCAGATTGATGGCAGCTTAAGCAAAAGCTTTAATAGCGCCCCAAGCTGCCATCATATTCAGGGCTTAGAAGCCATATAACCCATATGATGAGAAACTCCATACATACGTTTGAGAGCATTTCTATTTGAGATTAGGTGATTCAGAATCGTCAGTATTTCAGCTTAGAACAAATGGCTTTTATATATTCAATAAAAAAGAGTTAAAACGTTAAAAAATCCCATCCCATCCAGCCCATCTTTGGGTGTCTGCGGCTGATGGAATTTTTAAGCATTTTTCATTGAATATGTTGATCGGAATGCAAATTTGATCAAATATAGTAAAAATGATTTTTGCCAAAATACCGATTAATTTCGCTCACACATTTCCGATTTTCAGTACATTTAGCGGTTTCTTTGTCTTATCTCTATATCTTGTCGCTTTCGCGTTACTTTCTTTTTAAACAAAATCGTCTCGTCATCGTGAAAATTGAATTTAAACAATACAGCCTACGAAACCCCACTCTCTTTTTAGTTTTTAAGAAACCTCCATAAATTATCTTCATGATTCGGTTTTCAAATCGTTTGCTAACCCTAATCATAATACCACTAGAGCGGAGCGCTATTAAAGTATTATAATTTTTACAGATATAGATATTGAAAGTGACTGACTGAATTGCATTAGCAGTTTCGAATACCGAAAAACAATGAACCTACCAATCCTACTTTTATATTGAGTTTTTGTGCTACTGATGCTGAGGAGACACACTATATTTCTATGAATTATTAAAGAGTCGATAATGAAAAGAGAATACAGAACAATACTAATTCAATCCGACAGTTTAATTATATATGCGGTCAATCTGTAAAGAATAGGTAACTGCTATACCCCAAAATATTTAAAACAATATAATGCCACTGCATTATTAGATTCATCGATACCATCTCATGCATCATCCGAATGGAAGGTCAAGGCTTTGATTTTGTAATTAAAACGTTATTTTAGATTATTTTTCTAATAATAACTCAACCTTTGATCTCTTTTAGTGCTTTGCTTTTGCTTCACAATAATGAAATTTAATACGTAGTTTTCGACATGTTATATATAACTTTGCTTTATATAATCATGTCATTCTAATAAGTATAAGTATTCAAATATCTCAACAGTATAACATCAAAAATTCATAAAATGAAAATCATAAACTCAAACCCAAATCCAATGTCATTTAGGCTATTACATACAATTGTGAATTTCGAACTCTGTCATTTCTTTTTATTATTTTAATTTTTAGGGGTTTTTATTCTTTAGAACATGCCAACCCCATAAATTCATTTTATAACAATATTTCACTAGGGAATTTTTTACAGCATTTACTACAGTTTATCTTAGATTTATGAGTAATTTACATAGTTTTTGTGCAATGATAGACTTATGCTCTGCTAAAATACTTTGAATTAATCCAATATCTAAAACGTTTAATTTAAATTCTTTCATAAATGACTCCCTCTCATCTTTGTTTCTAATACACTCCATCAGCAAATGTTGTACATCTTCAATTTTATTGCAGGCGTGATATTTATCTGAGTCAGTCATTTTCATTAAATATGTAAACTTTGCCGATGGGTAGTGTCCATAACGGACTCTTAAAATCAATTTAATTTAATTTCTATTTATTTTAATATTATCAAACCAAGATTCACGAGGAGGTTGACTTTGAATTGTTTTAAACCATATACCTTTTTTTAGATTTATTATTATAATGCTCTTTCCAACTATTAAACATTATATTTTTGAATTTGGGTATAAATTCCGAATAGTCTGGTTCTTGTGTTACCGCTAATTTCGATATACGATCAGCCTTCTCATTTCCTTTAGGACCAATATGCGCTGGAACCCATTGCCACTTTATAGTAACAAGTATCTTCTTTTCAGATAAAATTTGGATAATATTCATCCATATATATTTATACAGAATTTCGTAGTCTATCGATATACCTCTGACACCAGGGATGCACAGAGCCAAACGCTGCAAAGCACTTTTACTATCACAAAAAATTAAAAATTGTGTCAATTATAGATTTTTGGCATATGATAATGCCTTGGATATTGCAATGAGTTGCAATGACATAGTTGTTATATTAGGTATTATCTTAAATCCTGCCTCATATCCTTTACTTTGATCATACAACCCTGCTCCAGAACCATCATTGCATTTTAAGCCATCTATATAAATTTTATGCCAGTTGTTGTACTTTGTATACAATAATATTATAAAATTTTGTAATAATACATTATATTCATAGTCTTTTTTAAAAGATTTTATAGAATCCAGATTCGTTTATAATAAGTGCATTGTGGTCAATACAGCTTACCCAAAATTTTAGGCTAAACATAGAATTCATTTCTGAAGTGTAACATTTGACTTGTTTTATATCCGAATAACACTGAGCAAGTAGAGGGCATTTTTTCTTTTTCCAGTATTTATAATTATATCGTCTAACTAAATCCGATATTAGTGTAATAGTTTCGTCATTTAACCAAGATATATTTTTTAAGCTGAATTTGTAGGCCAGGTATTGCCTTTGTACAAATAATGGCGGAATATTCAAATCATTTTCCATTACGTGAATAGGGGAACTTTTAATATATCCTCCTATGTGTCTCAGAGCTTGATTATGTAATCTATCCAATTTTGACACGTGACTTTTCACACTACAATCATAGATAAAGCGGCCGACTACTTATTAGAGCTATACGACTTCTTATTAGAGCTATGTACAGTCTTCTTGCATGTTTTCGGTGGATATCCCAACTTTTACTGACCAACATCCTATTAATATTATAAATGTGAAAGTTTCTTTGTTTGGATGTTTAGATGTTTGGATGTTTGTTCGTCAATCACGCCGAAACTACTGAACGGATTTTGATGAAATTTGGTATACAGATAGGGTATTAGCTGACTTAGATAATAGGATATCCCACTAAACATTTCCCTAGGGTCCACGCGGGCGAAGCCGCTGGCGAAAGCAAGTTTTAAAATAATTTTAAAAATTTAGAACATTTTTGTACCTACTGTCTCGTTTATATGTTTTCTCCATAGTAAGCTTCTATCTAACCACATGCCAAGATACTTCACACACTACAACAAGTTTATCTGTTGATCATTTATTTTTAAAGTAGGTAATCGTCTTCGTCTGTCTCTACTTAAAACACTTGTCATGGTTCTCTTAAGCATGTGACGTGTGAAATGTATTAATTCAACTGAACAGTTTAATACCATTTAAAAGCAGATAAATGATTATACCATTCAGGTTATGCGTTATATCTGTTGCATCAAACATAGAAAAT